GCCCTCATTGTCTTGTACTTGGCTTCATCAGCGTTGTTGTTCCTAGGAATAAATGTGCTCCTTGTCTTTGGGTGGGGCTCCCTCTTAGCTTCGCAGCTCCTTTAACCCCTCTGAAGAGATCTGCGCGGAAGCACTTCCTGATGCCTTGCTTTCCCTGAAGGCATACTGTTAAGGCTGCTGAGACAGAGAACAGGTGGCCCTTTATCATCTGTGAAAGGAGAGACACTGGCCAGTTCCTGCCTGTCTTCTGGGTCAGTATTGCACCTGATAGGAGCTTTAATTGTATATTTTAACTGAGCCAGCTACACATGTGTGCCCAGTTCAGCAGAGGGGAGTGGTAAATCTGATTGCTTCAGCAGCTTGTTCAAATAAACAGGGATAACATTTCGTTGGTCCTCCCGACTAATCAGAACACTAAAGGAAACATCTGCTTGTCTTAATTGCTATTTTATTGGTTAGGCTTTCCCTCCTCTCCCCCTCCCTTCCTCTTCCCACTCCTGGACTCCTACTAGTTTATTTAAGTCACAGCCAAGCAACATAGCATAGGATCAAGTCCTATCTCATCTAACCTTTGCCATTTAAACATAAGGAATAGGGTGAGAAGGGCTGGAAGGCTGGCAAGGGGAGCTGCTGGAGCTGGGAGGGAAGGTGGACACTTGACAGTGGTGCTCAGCTCTCTTCTGACCGGAGTCATTTTCTCCTCTCTTCACCTACCAGGGCAGTGTCAAATGCCAGTCTTAATGTCCTGTAACCTCCAGGACAAAGTCAGATTCTGTTGTGAGTTCCCCAGGAGCTTTGTTCATCCGACTTAAGTCAGGCAGACCCCAAGCCCTCAGATGTTGGCCATTGCTCCTCTTTTGCTTCTGTGGAGCACATCCTTCGCCACCATGGGAGGGCCTGCAGGGTGAAGTTATAGATAAGAGGCATTCTTTCTTGTGGCTTTTCCAAGCAGTTGAAAACTGCTCTTTCCCAGATTATTAAATGAAAGGTACTAGGAATGGGAAATCTAAAACAGGCAAGGTGCCCCTGAAGCTTTCGTTTTTTTTTTTTTTTTGCTAGCATCTGGGTCCTTGCAGAGAACTTGCACGTTGCCTTTTACTCTGCTCTGAAGTCAGCCTGTTTAGTTCTATTATGGATATATTGTTAGAAATATGTTCCAGCCCCCAAGAGAGAGTCCACCATTCCAGTTGAAGTGTCTCTAAAAGGCAGAACTTTAATGTTGGTCAAGAGTAAACAAGAGAAGTTTTACTCTTGATCACACAAGGCCAGGAAATGTTCTTGGTTTTTATTCTAAAGCAGGGGGTGACTTTCTTCCATTGGATAGAGTCCCACCTCAGTCTTTCACGATTGGCTAGCAATGTAAGAATCAGCACAAAGGAAATAAAGGGGCCAGACATATATGTTCCAAGAGTGCATTGGAGCCTTGAATGAATAAGAGGTTTTTTGGTTTTGGTTTTGGTTTTTTTCAGTGTGGGGACGGACGAGGACTTAAAGTACTTACATAAGGGTTTTAAACAAGGTGGAGGAGATTAAAAAAAAAAAAAAAAGATTTGAATTCTCTTTGTTATAAACAAAAGTTTTATGTGTTTGACAGAAAAGACTAATGTTTCTTACAGTAAGGAGACAGGCAAAACGTCATGTAGAACGATTGAATAGTAGAGGTTGGTGTCACAGTAAGCTTCAACTGTCAACTTGACATAATCCTAGAGTCAACTGGGAAGGGGCAGCCTCAGCTGAGGAATCCCTGTAAGATTGTCCTGTAGTGGCTTATCTGTGAGACATTTTTTTAAATTGCTAATTGATGTAGGAGGGCTTAGCCCACTGTGGGCAGTACCATTCTAGCAGGTAAACCTGGGCTGTATAAAGGATCTACCTGCCTCTGCCTTCCGAGTGCTGGGATTAAAGGTGTGTGCCGCCACCACCCTGGGCCATCCTGGCATCTTAACACATATGTGTCATTATATTTTGTTCTCACTTGTTTCCTCCCTCCTTCAGGGTTCTTTCTGTGTTCCTCCCTCCAGCTGTTTCCCTTTCTTCCCCCAGTTAACTCCAACTTCTGCTTTCTTAGTGCATGTATTCCATTACTCTATTTCCCAGCTCTCTTAAAATCTCTTCCTCCACTTTGATAATCTTTTTAGATCATGGCCTACACATACAATTTTAAGTCAAGATTCTTTGTAAGAGAACAAATGTGGTATTTACTTTTCTGAGTCTGACTTATTTCACTTAACATAGTTTCCAGTTATATCCATTTTCTTTCAAAAGTCATGACTTCACTTTCCTTTATGACTACATAAAATTTTATTCCTCTATTCACTTGTTGATGGACTTCTAGCATAATAATTCCATTTCCTGTCTATTACTTATATAGTCCTGTAGGTGTACTCCCAAGATTGGCATAGCTGGGTCATAGAGCTCTGTTTTAGTTTTTGAGAACCCAGCATTTGTTGTTACGGTTTTCTTGTGATACCATTCTGACTGGGGTGTGATGGAATCTAAAAGCAATTTAATTTGTATTTCTCTAATGCTAAGGATCTTAAACATTTTTCAAATATTTACTGGCCACTTGTATTTATTACTGTAGGAGCTATCTGTTCAGTTCATTAGCTGATTTATTGATTAGATGGGCTTTGGGTAGGCACCTGAGACGTTTATCCCAGTTTTGAAACTTAACACTTATTTGGGTATTTAATTTTTTAAGGTATTTGTGGATTATAGATAATCAGATGCATACTTGAAAAAGGCTTTTCTCCCGTTCTATAGGCTCTCTTCACTCCGGTAGTTGTTTCCTTCGCTATACAAAATACTTTTTTTTTTTTTAATTTGATGTAATCCACTTTCTCAGTTTTTAAGATTATTTCCTTGCTACTGGAGTTCTTTTCAGAAAGTCCTTGCAAATGCATACATCTTAAAATATCTTCCCTGTATTTTCCTCTAGATGTTTCCAAGTTCCAGATCTTACAGTAAGAGGGAAAGACTTTCATTTTACAGGAGAGAAATTAAGCCCAGAGAGATTGACCAGAGCAGACAAGTTTTAGCAAGTGCTGCAGTTTGGATATGAAATGTCCTTCATAGGCTCATGTGTTAGACGCTTGGTCCCCAGATGATGGTGCTATTTGGGAAGGTTTTAGAACCTTTAGGAGTTGGAAACTTCCTGGAAGAACGTGGCAGGCTTTGAAGTTTTATAGCCCATCTTTACAGCCTGTTCATTCTCTGTTTCCTGACTTGCCAGCTTCCCCATTCCTGCCACCAAGCCTTCCTCACCAAGAGGGAGTGTATCCTCTTGAACCATGCCTTCCTTAAATTGCTTCTTGAAAGGTATTTTGTCAAAGCAATAATATAACAAATATACAGCAGGTGATAGGAAAACTGAGCAGCAACTTTTGTAATTGCTAATTTGGGAGTCCTTCCACCCTGTTTTTAAAATTGCCAAGTACAAAACACATGAAAGAAGTCACACCTATGTTAAATTCCAATGAATACCCTAATGGGGGAAGCAAAGAACTCCTTCATAGTAAAGTGGCAAAACAGTTTTTATTTTAATAGAATTAATTTATTTGTTTATTGGTTTTTCTGAGGCAGAGTTTCTCTATGTAACCGCCCTAGATGTCCTGGAACTCACTCTGTAGACCAGGCTGGCCTTGAACTCAAGAGATCCGCCTGCCTCTGCCTCCCAAGTGCTGAGGTTAAAGACATGAACCACCACTTCCTGGTGCAAAACAGTTTTTGAAATGTTCAGGGTTGAGCTGGCAAGATGACTCAGTGGGTAAAGGCACTTGCTAACAGATCTGACAACCTGAGTTTGATGCCCAGAAACTACATGTTGGAGAGAGCTGACTCATGCAAGTTTTCTCTGACCACAGTGTACCCTGTTGGGCCCTGTGTGCACACAACACACACACCTTGAAAGGCGCAGTATGAATGGAAGGACTCGTCCTTTGCCCTGGAAATGAGCTATGATGAGTGTCATTAAGGGGCTGGAGATGCAGCCCCAGTGGTGGAGTGCTTGCCTGGCACCCACAAGACCCCCGGTTCAATTCTCAGTATGGATAAGTAAAAGCTTAGAAGTGTGCTTGAGTGTTGTAGTTATCTGGAGGACAACACCCTGGTGATACAATTGTTTTTATTCTCTGCCTTCTTGGGCTTGGCTTCTGACATTCAGTATAGAAGATGCATTTCTTTCCTGCTCCGTCATTCTTTTGTTCCTATTATTCTGTGTGGTTAGATGCCAACCTAGGGTGGGCAACAGCAGAGGATCAGAGAGCTGCTGCTGCTCAGAATTAGCCTCAACATATATTATAGAGTCAGGTAGTGTTAGCTAAATGTCGCAAGAAGTCATTACTGAAGAACTACTCTTTGCAAGTTTGGGAAAGAAATGAAGCAAGGGAGAATTGGGTGACCCTTAACATCTGTGCCAAAAAAAAAATGCACTCGATTTTAGGTGGTTTTTCCTTCTATGGAGAAGGAATGTGCAGGCCAATCCTGTAGGTCGTAGCTCGATGTAGTTTGGGTGCTGTCAGGTTAGAAGGACAATCCATTCCTGCTTGGAGTTTAGGGTTTTTGAGTTTAGGTCTTTGGATATCGTGTTTTTGGGTTTTTTTTTTTTTTTTTTTTTGTCTTATCCTATTGTACATCTTACTTTCTTTAGTAATCCAGTGGAGTGGGTGCCTGAAAATATCTGAGAAAGCATGGTCTGCCTAGCCACAGTTGCTAGGTAGGATATGGCTCTCAGGCCTGCTGTTGAGACCAATTGAAAAGTCAAAGGCTATAACCCATTTTCCCTCTACATGATTACCTTTACTGGGCTATAGCAAGGGCTCGTTTCATTCCATTAAAACTCTGAGTAATCTGACCATAATTGGTTATCTGATTTGCTAGGTTAAATAACGGTCTGTAATTGAGTCTGTGCCATTTGTAGAGCCTGTGCTGCTCTTGCCGTTGCTGCCACCTCCCATCTCCTTCTGTTTTTCAATTAACCTTCCTTCTTCTTTTCTTTACAGAGTAAAGAAGTTGGCCAACAGCTCCAAGATGATTTGATGAAGGTCCTGAACGAGCTTTATTCGGTAAATCAGATAGGCCGCCTGGCTCTTTGATCCTAGAGAGAAGCAGCATTTGGAAGTTTGCAGCCATAATCACGTCAGCAACAGAACTCAGCTGAGGATAAGGACACAGCATATCCCCATTGGGGGTGACCCCACCCATATGTTTTTCCACATTCAAGTTTTTCTAAACCAAATGAGCCAAAAAATATTTTTCCAGTTGTGCAATCTTACTGTGGCTTCATCTGGGGCACCACTGAAAGAGAGCAGCCAAGGTCTAGGTTACCGGCACAGCTGTCACCATTACCAGCAAGCCAGGAACCCCAACTTCATAGCAAAGAATGTAGCTACATTGCACTACTGCTTGTTGGAAAGCATGTGTAGTCAGTCATAAGTTATGCATCAGATCTTAGATTAATTGTGGTTTGAGTTAGAGCAGATGCTGTAAAGCGCAGATTCCTAAAGTCTGCAATGTAAAGTACCACTTCAGGCAAAGAGAATGTTGAAAACACAGCAGAGAGGTAAGCTATGGGCTTGGAGAAAAGAGCACAGTCTGCTTCGAACTCTCTCAGACAGCTTGTAGGCTGGTATGTGCTGTGTCCCAGAGTGCTGGTGGTTCATTTCTCCCAGCCATGTTTTGTTAATTATATTGGAAACATGCACCCACCAAGGAAGTTCTTGTTGCCATAGAAGAAATGCTTCAGTTGTACAACTTGTAGCTCTTATAGACCCTTTCTGAAGTTTGGTTGTATCAGCACTGTGTGTCAGTTTTCAGAATTGCCCTTATTTGTTTGAAGATGAAAATGATTTTCTGTATTTACTTGTCCCCCCTTCCCTTTTCCCCCTTCCTTGCTTCACCCCTTCCTTCCCAGGATGACGCAGTGGTGATATGCGTCACAAGTGTTTGGGATCAGAGAATTCCACATTCTTGATCCAGAAGCCTAGGTGTGGCCATTATGTCATGGCAACTGTTGGTAAATAGAGTAGAGTGGTCATCTAATTTGTCTCCAGTGATGCTCCAATTGTTTTGAATTTCTACTCTGTGACCCTTATACTCTGAAGCCAAATAATGGGCAGTACCCTTTGTACCCCAAGTTTTCATTTCTCTCAAATGAAGTTAAGACTTTTTAAAAATAGAATCATGGCACTCTGAGCCATTTTCAGACTGGATGAGTTTCCTGAACCTTATCTTTTCATTGCTTTACTTCTCTTTATTTTTAGAGCATCTTGTAGGTACCAAGAAGAACTGAGACTTGCCTCCAGGATAACAAGTGACACGTTATTCTAGGACTCCTTTTACTTTCCCAGTAAAAAGCATCTTGGGCCTTTGCTGTTTGCTGCTGCCTCTCAGGTCAAGCAGCAAACTCAGATCCAGCATACTACATTTGCAGTGAGGCAACAGAGGAAGAACTGTGTCTGAAGAACTGTTAGCTTTTACACAGAGTTGCAGATCACTTCATAAGTTTTGGCTTAAAAAGAAAATGGTAGTATGTAAACTGTGCTGGAATGAGGAAGAAAACCATGGAGCTTGCTGATCTGTCTGATGAAGGCCAAGCTGGGAGACCCAACCCCTACCCCTGTTTACTTTTTTTAATAGTTGTTTTGTGTGTGCATCAGGGCCCATTCTTGGAAGTTGGGTCTCTTCTGCCACCTTGTGGGATGTGGTCATGTAACTCAGGTCATTAGACCTCTGTCTACTCAGCCATCTCCCAGCCAAGACTTCTGTGATTAGTCTTCAGATCATTATTGGCCAGTTGCTTCTGTGGCCACCATGTGCCTTCAGTTACTACAGAGCATAAAGCTCTCTCACTAGCATTCACATGCAGAATTGGTGAGTGTGCTGCCCTTCTGCTTTGAGGTGAAATGATATACTTACTGTTTGTTCAAGTCCCAAGGAAGGCTTAGATTTTTACCTCTAAATGGAAAGAGAAAAATAGAAGAGGACACCAAGAAGTTCCAGAGAGGGCAGAACATTCTGGTACAGTGAGTCTTAAACAGGGCGATCTCCTCTCCCCCACCTCCCAACCCACAAAATGGAATGTGTGGCAATCTCTCCTGATGTTTTCAGTTGTCACAACTGGAGCAGTTGGTAGCTCAGTGTCATCTGAAAAGTAGAGGCCAAATATGATGCTAACATCCTACAATGTATGGGACAGTTTACCACAATAATTATCCAGCTCCAAATGTCAGTAGTACCGAGACTGAGAAAACTGGGTGTGCTGACTCTAGGCTGCTAAACTAGCCACGTGAGGTTCTATCCTGTCCTGACTATTAGCTACATGCAGTTGGAGGGATACTTCCCACTGCAAAAGTCAGCATGATGATGAGAGTTCATGTCAAGTTTGTTGGTTTTCCATCCTACTCTTCCCCAGAAGCAGCAACAAAACACTATGTTCTGATACCTGCATGCTGTGTGGCTATCAGTTATCAAGGAATTCATATTTCCAAAATACCACACTGGTTAAGAATCAAGTGAATTTGAAGGTTCTATATAGGTCATTAGAAAGGTTGTAGGATGAAATTAAAAGTTATTTCTTGTGTAGGGTAAGATTAGTTTAGGACTGATCTGAAATAGGCCTGAGATTAGGGTGATCCATCCCTTTTTGCTGGTTAGCCTAGTGCTTATGAAGAGAGAACCAGATATGGTCAGACACTTTCAATTCAGCACTTGAGAAGCAGCGGCAGGTGGATCTGTTGAGTTCATCGAGGCCAGCCTGGTCTTACAGGCCAGCCAGGGCTACATACTTTCTGGGGACATATTTTCAGTGCTGAATTGGTAGTCCTAAGGAAAGCAGGATGTTGGTCACCCTGCATGAGATAGTGGTTTCCTCAAGTAGGAAGTTGATAGTACTGCATAGTGGCTTTGGAAAGCTATTTGCTGTACATAAACTCTGGGGAGAGTTTCTTCTAAGTATTTCCCTTGTTTGCTCTATGTAAGAAAACAGGAAAGAATCTCTGCTTTCACTGGCCCTGTCAGCAGTAGGAATTATTTGTCATTCATGTGGCACTGGAAAAAGAGATCAGGGTATTAAGAAACCCTCTTTATTTCTCAGTGCTCTTCTTACACCTGCCCCTATTCCCCATGAATACTTTTTTGGAGGGGACCAATTACTCAAGGGTTGATAATCTAAGTACTTTCAAACCTTGATGACCCATGGGGCAGAGCCCAGGTAGTTCTAAATACAGATGCCTTTGAACAAGAGATCCAGAGTCCCACCATAAGTAGCCAGCTGCCCCTCTGCACCTTCTGCTTCTGCTCGCAGGGGCTTTGATTTCCCTGACTTAGCATTCTGTGCCAGGGGGAGTTTCCCACAGCTGTTCTTCCAGAGAGCAGCCCCAGTGATTCTTGCACATATGTGTGCTGGTCCATTATCCCTCTGTCCATCACAATGAGCTGGCTAGCTTGTAAGCCATGGTAAAGTGGTTTTCATTTTCTTTCTGATGTTGTAGGAATGCCTTTGAAGTCAGAGCGCAGTGCTTCCCAAAGAACTCTGGGATTGTCTGCCTCAACTGTACAGAGAGGCTGTGTCTGGAAAATCCCAGGAAGCCCCCACAGAAAAGAGTGTATATGGAGGCAGGGAAGCCACATGGATTGACTATGAAGAGCCAACTTGAAAGAGAGAGAGAGAGAAGAGGTAGTGGGACTCTCTGGGACTGTCTTTACCTCAGAGGTTTTATCCTTCGGTACTATCCCTGAATCCCTCAATATGTCTCCTTGACTTGGTGCAGCAGCTGGTTGCAAAGCTGCTTTAAATTGAAATTCAGCACCTGTTCCCTTGAAACACTGTCAGCTAGTAGTCCCCTGATACTGTTTGTCTGTTTGACCCTATCATTAGGCACTAGAGATACAAAGGCAAATAAAAGATAGTACTGAAAACAAGGCATTTCATTTTAATGTTGGGGGAGGGGTGAAGCAGCTAGTAAAACTGAGATAACTCTTTTACATATCTGCAGGGAGGGACTGGGTCACGTTCCTTGGAACGGTACAAGAATTCAGTCTTAATCGCCAGTTGCCAAGAACTCTTATGTTTTTCATCCTATATTCTCCCTAACTTCCTTCACTGAGGTCTTATTTCATGGTGCTGTATCTTTTCCATTCTCATTCTCTCTCTAGGGCTCTTACTGATAAACTTTTCAGCCTTTTCTCCCTCTAGACTGTGTTTCCTACATATTGCTTATTTTGGTCTTGCTTAATCTAGAAAACATTAGGAACCTCTCTCTCTCTCTCTCTCTCTCTCTCTCTCTCTCTCTCTCTCACTGTGTGTGTGTGTGTGTGTGTGTGTGTGTGTGTGTGTGTGTGTATGTACGCACACACGCGTGCACCCATGTGCTTTTGAGAAAGGGTTTCTCTATGTAACCCTCACTGTCCTAGAACTGGCTCTGTAGACCAGGCTAGCCTCGAAGCCAAAGATCCACCTGCCTCTGCCTCCTGAATGCTGAGACTAAAGGCATGTGCCACCATGCCTGGCTGTCTGCTTATATTTTAAAGTGAGGCATATATGACATTTCCCAACTTTGGAAGAGAATGCAAAGGAAAAAGTCATGCTATCTTTGAGATTTTAATTTCTTAGATTGGGTAATGTTTTATTTTCTTTTAATCTTTACATTCTTTAAGGGTAAGGAACAATATAAATAGTTGTTTTAGTCATTGTTATCTAGTAACATAACTTTTGGAGTGATTTCATTTCCCATGTTCATTTGCCATGTTTCCTTTTTATCCTGTACTTCATAAAATAAAAATTCACTGTTTTAGAAATTACTTTTAACATTGGGAAGTGGTGGTGCAGGCCTTTAATCCTGGCACTTGAGAGGCAGAGGCAGGCAGAGCTCTGAGTTTGAGGCCAGCTCTACGGAGCAAGTTCCAGGACAGCCAGGGCTATACAGAATTTCTTTCTTGAAACTACTCTCACCCCACCCCCCAAAAGATACTGTTACAATGCTTTACTCTAGTGCTTGAATTCCTTAATCACATTCAAGTAAGAAAAAGAAAGAGGAGTCCTTCATCTGTCCTTCCTCAGCCAGGATAGCAGATGCCTTTCTTACCCTTTCACCAGGAAGAATAGTAATCTGGTCAAATTTTCTCTTTAATGCCATTGGTTGTTGATATACAGAGTATAAGCAGGGTGGAACTTCCAGGAAATGATGTCATGTTCGGAGTAAGGTGAATATTTAAATTACTCTGTATTTAAAATGAGACATAATTGAGACTGCACTGTACCTCAGTATTCTTTATTCCTTCTTGCAACTCCAGGTGATCCTAAATATACCCACAAGTCCCCAGGTTTCCCCAGCTTCAGCACCACTGACATTCTTAAACAGACACTCTGTTGTTATGGACTCTCCATGTATTCCTGTCTCTACCTACTAGCAACCTCTAAGTGATTAAGATAAAAAATATTTCCAGACATTGCCAATTATTATCTGAGGTCTAAAACAGCCCCTGATTGAGGCACTGCCCTCAGTTGAGCACTTTCATTCCTAAAGAGATCAGTGTCTTTCTTCAGGGTTCCCTCAGCTCTCCTTTACCTTTCCTACGAGCTAGTTCAGCTTCGGTCCTATGCAGATAGTCACTGTGACTTAGTGGATAAGATGTGGACTTTGAAGTTAGATGATAGACCTAGGTTTGAATGTAGGGAGACACAGTAACCACGCCTCCTAAGGGCTGGCTACAGGTGTGCCTGACCACGCCTGTCAGGGTGTGGTCAAGGTGAGGTCAGGATGACTTGGGATAGGTTTTTTAAGGGGCTGCAAGCACATGGGAGCCCCTCTCTCTGGCCTAGCTGCCTCGCTGCCCCTGGCACGCTCTGGCTTGCGTTTGGCTGGTGTTTATCTGAATAAAGATATTCAGATTTTCAGATATTCAGATTTGCTCTCGTTATATTGAATTCTGACTCTGCCATTTACCTAGTTGTAAGACTTTGGGTACCATAGGTAATGTCATTGAGACCTACTTCCTTATCTGTCTTTAGATGTACAAATACTAACATGTCTTTTTTTAAAAGACTTACTTGTTTATTATGTATACCGTGTTCTGCCTGCATGTATCCCTGTAGGTAAGAAGAGGGCACCAGATCTCATTATGGATGGTTGTGAGCCACCATGTGGTTGCTGGGAATTGAACTCAAGACCTCTGGAAGAGCAGACAGTGCTCTTAACCTCTGAGCCATCTATCCAGCCCCACTAACATGTCGTTCATAAAGTTATTGTGAGGATTAAGTCAAGTAGCACACATAAAATCCCTGGCACACAGTGTGTACGGAAATGCTAGAGATTATTACTAATATTAAAAGGTGCTTTTCTGTTGTCAGCCACACAAAAGTACACTCTACTCCTAGATTTTCTATTTCTCCTTTTCAAAGAAACCTCATGGCATCAAAGTTTCAGTACTCATGAATTTCCAATTGCTTGATTTATTATTGTATTTTAATTTGGAAGCTGCCTATGTGGAAACAGAAATTTCCTGCAGAGTAAGGTCAGCTCCTGTGTGGCTGGAAGTAATATATTTGAGAGGACTAAAAATTAGCTGAGATTCTATCTTCTGGCCTTCTTGCCAAGAAATAATATTCAATTCCTGGACAATAGCTCTTTTGGAAAATTTGAAAATTTTATCCCTCGCCCCTCCCTTCCCCCATTCCCTGTCTGTTTTTTAAGGCAAGGTCTCTATGTAGTCTTGGGTGTCCTAGAACTCGCTATGTGGACCAGGCTGGCCTTGAACTCACTGAAATCTTCCTGTACTACTTCTGGAGTGCAGGAATTAAAGGCATGTACCACTATACCCAACCCTATGTCCCCCGCCTTATGTTACTTTCTGCTTGTGGCCAATCCCAGTTACACTTGATATGTAATTTCTTCTTTCAAAGCCTCTTACCTGAATTATGCAGGTCTACAGCCTTCACAGGACATTGTTTGGGCTGTAGAATTGTTAAATGAATGAAACTAACAAGGGGTGGGGGCATTTGACACAAAGCCAAAAATATATTACATACTCAGTGTGGTAACTGCTATTGACGTGTTTCTGTGAGAGCAAGTGTCTAATGAGATAAAGCAGACCAGAACATTTGGAACTTTTTCTTCTTCCTTGCTTTATATTTGAAAATATAGAGTATTCCTTTGGTCATGTTGCCTTTTGCCTTTAGGGTCTGAAAGAGGTGTTGTTATTTCTTGTTTTACTTAGTATCACTCGGTGACTAAGCAATAAAGATTACTGAGCCAATATAAAGGTCATGCTTACAGATAATGATGAATGAAAGTAAAAACATTGATGAAACTTATATGGAATCATTGCAGTAACCATCCTATACTTATGCATGGTCCTTCATATATATGTATTGAACCAGACATTCCCTGGAGGAATATGAATATTGCTTCATGTAGAGTTGATGCCATTTGTGTGACCTCTGGATGGAAATGCCTTGCAGGTCATGAAAACATACCACATGTACAATGCTGACAGTATCAGTGCTCAGAGCAAACTAAAAGAAGCAGAGAAGCAAGAAGAGAAGCAAATTGGTAAATCAGTGAAGCAAGAGGACCGGCAGACACCCCGCTCCCCTGATTCCACTGCCAATGTCCGCATTGAGGAGAAACATGTCCGGAGGAGCTCTGTGAAGAAGATTGAGAAGATGAAGGAGAAGGTAGATGTGCTCTGGCAACTCTAGAGACAGAAAGGGATGTTCAGAAGGCAGGATTGAGGAATTCCCCAGTAGGTGTCATGAAGAGCTAAACAAAGCAGCTCTAGTTCCTTTAGTGCCGAATCATTCTTTGTCTTACCATGAATCCTAGCTATTGGAGAACCTAAGCATATGAATTCTCAGACTTCAATTTCAAGTGTATTGACAAGAATCAGTAGTCACCTTACTCAGCTCATTTTCCAAATGGAGTTGAATGTCCTATTGCTTTAAGAAGTAGGGGAGACTGTGGACCTTGTAGTTTGGCTTTAAAATACCAGGGTTCACGGGAGACGTGGAAGTACCTTCTCCAGGGTGACAGCAAGGGTGGAGAATAGTATGTGAAGACAGAATCAAAGTAGAGTACACATCTGAACCATATTCATCTCATTAATCAGAATTAGAATCCAGCTTAAAGCAGATGTACACAGGGAGTAGCAGCAAAGTGGAAGCTCTTGGCGTGCTGTCCTTCACCTCTCACAGAACAGTTTTGACCTCTATTTTAAAAAGTAATAGTGATGGGTCAGCAAAATGGCTCATCGGATAAGTCACTGCCACTGAGCCTGACAACCCGAGTTCAATCCCAGGAACCCACATGATAGGAGAGAAATGACTTCTACAAATTGCCCTCCAATCTCCACAAAAACACAAAGGCATATGTGCATGGAAACACACACACACACACATACCACATCATATGAAATAAGTAAACATTTTTAATGTTTTTAACTTTAAAAAATGACTAAAAGTGAACTTGTGTTTTCTTTTTAGCGACAAGCCAAGTACACAGAGAATAAGCTGAAGGCCATTAAAGCCCGGAATGAGTACTTACTGGCTTTGGAGGCAACCAATGCATCTGTCTTCAAGTACTATATCCATGACCTGTCTGATATTATCGATGTAAGTACTTAAAGCTGGTGTGGGAGGCTGTGGGTATCTCTTTGCCTCATTTCAGAAGCCTACACTTCACATGTTCCCCATTTCTGTGTTCAGACATGTTGGCCACTTTGAGACCAATTTGAAGGTAGCAGCCATGATCCACTGTGTAAAGGTGATGCACTTTACACTTGATATCATTCATTCCTCACAGCATTCATGAGAGAAAAGCAAATACCATCTATAATATTGACTGACATTCAGAGAGTTTAGTGATTTACCCAGAATTAGTAAAAGGCTGAGACAAAATTTGTACCAAATTTTGATTCCTAAACCCATGTGCTCTTCTGTTTGTCAAATAATAGTCTCTTATATCAGAAGCTTGTAGAAAGAAGCAACACAAGAGTTAAAATGCCTTCCTTTATGTTTATATAACAATCCATGTTTCTTGTTGTTTTCTAATTTCATTGTCACATCACTCTTATAGATACTCAATGCTCTCTTAATTTGTGATCCAGAGAGCTTAGAGACCTACTTGCCCAAGGTTTTGGGTCTGCATTGTGCTGCAGACTAGGGTCCTATCTAGATGGCATCCAGATGCTACTGCTATCTGCTCTGTTCTCTTTTGAGAAAATGGCACAAAAATGAAAAAAGGAAGGGGGGCTAGTACGCATACATGTTTTATTTGTGGGTTACGCTTTGCTTTGATTTCTTACTGCTTCTCCTCAATCTCTGTGTCCTAAAATGTCTCTCACATTCAGAATGTAGTCCAGCCCAATTCCTGGGCCAGCTTTGTATGAAGCTATGTAAGCAAACCCTTTCTCATGTCTTCTTTGAGTCACCAAAGTGCGCCTGGAGCCAGCTGATTGAGCATCAGCAGTCCAGTCTCTAGGACATCAGCAGTATTCTTTCTGAGACCTGGTATCTGCCTTGGGTTCTTGTCAATAGCAGCTGAGCTTGCAAGACTCAGCACGTGGTTTTCCACCTTGGTTTCTTCACAAGCATACCTGCTATGCTTTACATCATGTGGGGAATCTGGGCGCAGATTCACTATTATATAACTGATTAGCACATCTTAGGCTTGCTTCTGAACTAATCTGGAACCCTGCTCTATTTCCTACCACTCTACCCCTAGTAAAATAAAGACCTGGACTGTTTAAATCTGGCCTACATCAGGGTTGCTGGGGGAACTTTTCTAAAATACAGACTAGTTTCCTTTCAGCCAGGGAGTTTTGATCTGTAGGGTTTGGCCTCCTAAGGCCTTAGATGTCATCGTCTCAGCTGGTAAGTGGAGCCTTGGTCTGCATTCAGGCTCCTCTTTGTTCTCTCTGCTTGTTGATGCCAATCTGAACACTGTCCTTCAGTGGAGGTCAAACTCTACACCAGTCTTTTTATTCTTCTCCTTCACTGTTGGTAGAGGCCCATTCTCAGCATGAGGAAGACGGTTGGTCACTTTTTATGCCCACTGTCTGCTATTTCTCTCCCATTTGGTAAAATAAATAAGATTAAGAAATTAGACTAGACAAGGTATTGCACCCCCTTTACTGGTTTGTCCTCTTTCCTTTGCCTCTAGAGGATATGTGTACCAGTTTCAAAAAATCGCTTACTTCAGAGAAAAGAGGATTTTGCTCTGTGAGTTACAACCTTTGTAGTACATGAGCAGATGTTTTAAAAAACATGTAAGAAGCAAACTGTTTTGTATTTTGTTTCCCCTGATAATAAATAAATGGCCTGTTGAGAGCCTAACTGATAGGATGTGATTTGAAGAGCCATTGGAAAAGAAGACAGCCTTTGTAATGCTTACTCAACAAGGCATAGGTGTAGGGGTGGTAAACAAGTCCAGGGTGGCAGCATTCCAGGCCATGAGTAAATTTGTTCTTGTTTGGGTTCTATTTTGACTGTATCATATTTGTTTGTTGTTTGTTTGTTTGTTTGTTTATTTTTTAGAATCAAGGTTACTTTGTTTTATTTTGTTTTTTCGAGACAGGGTTTCTCTGTGTAGCCCTGGCTCTCCTGGAATTCACTCTATAGACCAGGCTGGCCTTGAATTTACAGAGATCCACCTGACTCTGCCTTCTGAGTGCTGGGATTAAAGGCAGGTGTCACCACACCTGGTAAAGGTTACTCTTTTTTGTTTGTTTGTTTGTTTGTTTTGCACGGCTGGGTTTCTCTGTGTAGCTTTGGAGCCTATTCTGGCACTTGCTCTGGAGACCAGGCTGGCCTCGAAGTTACAGAGATCTGCCTGCCTCTGCCTCCCGAGTCCTGGAACTAAAGACGTGCACCACCAAAGCCCAGCAAGGTTACTCTTTTTAAAAAGCTGTTATAATAGTATTTCTATTCTCTATAACCACTTAGTACATTTATGGGGCACAGTGTGTGTTCAGCATCAGTGTTACAAATAGAATGTAACTGTTTTTACCTAAGAGAAGAGATATTCGTATGCTCTAGTTTTCTCAAACCATGAACCATGATCCATTAAGGGAGCAATAAAATCATTTTTATGCATTTAACTTATTTCATATGATTAGACTAGAATAGGGGAGAAAATATTAGATTGTATCACAATATTATATGGATGAGATTTTTTTGTAATTTTTATTTTAGGGGTGCATGTGTGTGTGTGTGTGTGATGTATTTCTTACTGTGAGCTGAAGGTTAAAATGAAGGTCACTGTAAGTCTCTTTTAAGATCCAAGAAGATAGGAACCAAGACTTACTTTACCTTAAGTAGTAATATGTAGCTGAGCACATAGTTTTTTAAGGAGGGAAAAATTATCTCCTAAATCAAGATTTGCATTTAAATTTTGTCCTTTTAATGTTCTGTTCATGTATAATTTACATTTAATGATTAATCAAGTTGATTGATTGGTTTGATTGTTACAGTTTGAAGAGTTTGTGAGAAATTCACATATTCTTGTAACCTGTATTTTTATTGAGATACAGAATAAGTACCATTAGCAGCAAACACCTGGAATCTCAGCACTTAGGAGGTAGAAGCAATAAGGGCATTAAAGACAGGCTAGGCTCTGTTGCTGTCTCGAAGCAGCAAAGAAACACAAAATATGAAAGATACATTCTCATTACTTGAAGGCAATCATTATTTAGCTCTTTCACCCTTAAATTAATATTGCCTGTTGGAGAATTTCACAAAGCTGGGATTTTACAGAATATAATTTATTTTATTTATTACTTGAGTATATATGGACATATACATACCACAGTGTATGTGTGGAGGCCAGGAGACAACTTTGTGGACTCATTTTTCTCTTTCCACTTCTACTTTTATGTGTTGTTTTTCATTTCTGTTGCTGTGATAAATACCTTAACAAAAAGCAACTTCAGAAAGAAAACATTTATTTAGTTATAATCCCAAGTTATAGTCCATCGTTTTAGGGAAGTTAAGGCAGGAACTCAAATAGCTAGTCCTATTACATATTTAGTCAAGAGAATATGCCTGCCTGCCTGTCACTTGCTTGCTTTCAGCTAGTTTGTTTGTTTTTTTTTTTTTTTTTGCCTCATTTATAGTTTAGGACTCTATTAGAGGGAAGGGTGCTGCCTACAATGGGCTGGGTCTTTTTACATCAATTAATGCTCCAGACATTTCCACAGACCAACTTGATATAGCTAATTTCTTGTTGAGACTCTCTTACCAGATGAGGTAGGTTTCATCAAGCCAACAGTTAAAACAAAACAGGACACATGAGTTCTGGGGTCTGATCTCAAGTCAGCAGGTTTGCACAGCAAGTGTTTTTACCCACTGAGCCATCTTGCTGGCTCCAGAATATAGTTTTTGCAATTTTTTTCCACCCAGGATATTTTTTTAGCATCATCCACATTGTTTGCATCTATCTTCCTTTTTCATGCTGTTCTATGCAATTAAAAGTGCCAAAACTGTTCTGTAGCAAAGAAGCAAAGAGTGAGTAGGGAGCCTGGGTATGCTGGCTTCATGATCTCAGCAGTATCCAGAAGTTGCTTCAAGACATGGGATTAGTGTCATTCCAGGCCATTATTGCATGTGTCATATGCCACCATTCTACCTCCTTTTGGGTTTGACTCAATCTGCATTTAAGGCACTGAGCATAAGTAAAAAATTATTTTTAATAGGTCTCATTAAACTGACATAAGGACTAGCTTCCGATTTCTTTGTATAGTATAATAAAAGATTTAATGTAAACTCAAACTATAAGAATCCACATGAGACATCATACACATACTGGGGAAAACTTGACTCTAGGCAAGGAAGATATTTTAATCTCACCTGGTAGTTTCTAAGAACTGGAGGAGCCTGTTGTGGTATTTCTTCACCTGTATCCCTATCTCTTGGCCTCTGAGCAGATGGGTAAGTGAAGTACCCGGCGTTGTTGTCGTGGGTAGCTGAGTATTGGATAGAAAGTCTGTGATGCCATATATACCCAAATTGGACACAAAAGAACTTGGCTTTCCCAATATGATGGTTTTATTGAAGGCAGTTGTTTCTCTTCCATATGAATTTGAAAGGTGATATGAAACACTCATTTGTCTATTCTAGGTTTTCTCTAGATTCTCTAAGGGAGACTAGCAACTGGTGAAAGGATAACGAACTGTGACTAAAGTTTACACATTGGGATGGTCTGTTACTCAATTTTATATAAAAAATTATATGTTTCCTGCAAGTTTTTTTTATAGCATTTATGTAACATAGAAATGGCTAAGGAAACCTTACATGACCATGGAACTCACCAAAATGGAAAGCATACTTTATAAACAAAATTGTCTGTTTTCTCTATTTATTGGGGTCCTCCTGGGAAATATTCAAATCTCATTTACTTAGCCTTGCCAGGTACTGCTTCTTTGCTGAAGGCTGAGTTTCTGTCCACATCTCCTGGGCTAACTGAAGGCATGTCAGAACCAGAGAGCACATTCTGAGTCTGACCTTGAATCACTGGCCCTGAGAAGCTACAGATGGTCATCCAGAGGTTTGCCCCTTGCAGTTCTTAGGTTATAGACGTAGAACATCTGGGGCAGTATGCAGCCCATCTATCTAGATGATTTCTTGAGAGGCTGGAGTCTTTGACTGTGGCATCCATCAGTCAACTGTATTGAATATCTTCTGTGAATGAGACCTTATAAGAAAAATTGTAAACAAAAATAAGATACTAGAAAGCCCTAAGATATCTACTTTCTGGTTGGGGTAATATGAAATGGCAGGCCTCAGAATGACTGTGTGTATTAGGGTCATATGAAGGTGAATGCAATCGGGTCCAAGTGGACCAGGAATGCAGGGCTGGCTGGCTTCTGAGAATTTAATTTGGATCTTAAAGATTGAGTCCATTTCCAGCAGGTTTCAAGAAAAGAACTGCTAGGAACTGAAGGGTAGAGGTCCACAGATTGGGAGATGCTGGTGATTGCTGCTGGTTTTGAGTCTGCACAGTGCCAGATGTGTTAAGTGTATTGTCCATTTGCTGTCCAACCATCTACAAAGCTGGTATTTCCCCCATTTTCCGCCCAGGGGGATAAACTAGCTTTCTAAAGGCTAGAGGCCTATGCTTTTTCAACACTCTGTCCTATGCAGGAAGTATGTCACTGGCATTCAACAGAAGAGGCTAAAGGTGGACATAAAGAGAGGTGATGTTGAGTAGATAGACTATATACACACAGATTACAGTTTTGATTTTTGTTTTGTTTCCTATTTAACTTTGGTCAAGTTAGGTTATTTCACTGAGTTTTCATCTTCCCTAGTGTGGAAAACTAAGCTAATACAGACTTCAGTGGGAGTAATAGTGAAGATTAAGATGAAGAATGTACATAATACTTAGTTCACTGTCTGACATGTGAACTTTAGTGGACAGAACCGTTCTTTACATGTACAAACTAAAGGTGACTTTTACCTTGGGCAGGGATAAGTATTTTAGGTTCTTCAACAGGGGTGATTAAATCACATCATTAGGACAGTTTGCAAACAGCTTTGTTGTAAAATAAGGGATGGACTAGGATAGAGATAGTAAGAATGGAGAGGAAAGTGAAGATTTCAGCAGGGCCCTCCCTCCCCCTAGCTGTCCCCCAGACCCCCGCCACACAGCACTACACCACTAACTACAGAGTTCATCTCAGGGACTATAGAGAGAGCTAGGCAAGAGGATTTGCAGGTTCAACAGCATCTCCTAGAGGAGGAAGGGGCCCTCCCTGCACGTGCAGTTTCTCAATCAGCCGCCTTTGTCTGGATTCCACTTGCTCTTCCTCCAACTGAATTGAATGTTTTCCCATCCTCTGGCTATAGTTATGCTGTCACTGCTGTTACTCTGCTGAAGCCAAGCACCTGCCAGCGTCTGTTGGCATTGCACCAGAGCTCAGCCCGATGTGTGCTCCATTGCTGAGCTTCTTGTCAGATGCCTGGAAGGAGGCGGCCTGTCACATGTTTTTTCTTCCCCAATAGTGGCTGTTCCTGAAGTGATCATGATGAGAAGGAAATGCTAGGGAAATTAATTTGATGCTTATTGATGCATTGAAATTACAATCAGGCAGATGGCCTTACTCTATCCAGAGATTTTCCTCTGACATTTCCTCTCAGGCTCTGGACATCAAAGCTGTGTAAATAATAGAGGCGATAATTGATGGCCAAGGAGTTTGGATTCTGGGTCTTTATTGGAGGGGTAGGGAATGTTGTCATAGTGTTACAGAATACCATTGCTGAAAAGAGCTTTGGGGATTACATTTAATCCAAGGATTTTTCGGGCTTTTCTTAAGAACTTATTCTTCAAACCAGACCACACATAGAATCCCAGTTTACTAAATAGGAAAGTGAGCAGAGCTGTCTTGGTTGAAGTAAAGATAAAAAGGCCCCCAGACCTGCTAAGTAGCCCTCCTCTCCACTTCCTAAGGGGAACCTGAGTGCTGACACTGAAATTTAGAGCTGTGATATGTAGCTTAAAAACCACTAGACTGTCAAGGAAACAGGTCTAGGGATAGGAGTAGCTTTTCCAAGGTTGTTTCATTCTACCTTTACTGTTTTGTGTTTTTCCTCTATGTGTGTGTGTGTGTGTGTCTGTGTGTGTGTGTACACACTAACATATGTAAGGGTGCATACACATGTGTGAGGGGCCAGAGGACAACTTCAAGTATCATTCCTTCTCATCACAGTTGTCTTGTTCTGTTTTTGATTTTTTGTTGTTGTTGTTTAGTGTGTGTGTGTGTGTGTGTGTGTAATAAATATGTGCATATGAGTGCAGGTGCCTATGTGAGTCTAGAAGAAAGAATTAGATCTCCTGGACCTGGAGTTATAAGCAGTTATGAGCTTCGAACATGAATGCTAGGAACCAAACTCAGGTCTTTTGTCAGAGAAGTAAGCACTGCTAACTACACAACCATCTCTCAAGCCCTGACCTTGTGTTTTTGAGACAGGATTCTTGAAGGTTCATCTTAGCCAGCTGACCATCAAGCCCCTTTCTCCACCTCTTCAGTGTTAGGATTACAGACCCCTCACCCAGCTCGTTTACATAGGTTTGTGATCAAGCATAAGTCCTCGTATTTGCACCCAAGGACTTTACTAATTGAGCTATCCCTTTAGCCCTGGTTTTAGTTGTTTGTTTAAAGACAGAGACTGGCTTTGAATTGACTATATAGCTGAGGATTGAGGGTGACGTTGAACTTCTGATCCTCCTCTGCTGCCTTCCACTTCTGAGTGCTTGAAGTTACAGGCCTGCACCACCACACCCAGTCTATGCAGTGCTGGGGATCAAACCTAAGTCTTCATGCATGCTAGACAAACCCTCTTCCAGTTGACCAACATTCCCCAACCCCTACAATTGCCTCTTTTGTAGCCTTTTCATTTTTGTTGTTGAACATCAGGGATGATAAGAATTTCTCCAGTAATACTTTAGAACTTTTTAGTTTAGTTTTCTTCAGCTCAGGCTTGTCGCAGAACACTGGAAATTGATGTCATGACTCGCATCAACCTTCTATTCCCTCCTTCCCCACCTACCTAGATTTGAGTGTACGTGAATTTGTTGCTAAGGCAGCACTCCAGATTTTTGACCCCTGAATACTGCATTGGCCCGGCAAACTTGCTGTGTAGTGACTTCTAACTATAGCCGCCCTCGAGGACCCATGGCAAGCTGCATTATTATTATTGTTGAATTTTGTTGTCATGACATCCCCAGACAAACCAGAAAATAGAACAGAATTCTTTAACTCTTGGCCATTCTCATTTTTATGCAATAGCAGTTCATTAACTCTTATCATTGGGTTCTTAGAGATTTACTTCTGTCTAACCACCTTAGTGCCCTACATGGTATGCCTAACCACTGACCTAGGAGGCCCAGGTCTTGGAAATCATAATGTCAACTTCCTTCCTGTCACCTTGATATGGTCAAATATGTCCCAGAGACCACTTCCCTTTTTGTCAGGCCCTGAGATATCTGTGGTATGCTTATGTGCCTTTTCCTTCCCACAGCAGTGTTGTGACCTAGGCTACCACGCTAGCCTGAACCGGGCCCTGCGTACTTTCTTGTCTGCTGAATTAAATCTGGAGCAATCAAAGCATGAGGGTCTGGATGCTATTGAAAATGCAGTAGAAAACCTAGATGCCACCAGTGACAAGCAGCGACTCATGGAGATGTACAACAATGTTTTCTGCCCCCCTATGAAATTTGAATTCCAGCCCCACATGGGAGATATGGTAAGGCCCTTCCCCATCCTGTACCTTTTCTCAAACTGACTTGAATGTACTAGATGTGTATATAGTTTTATTACATCTAGGCGACATCCAAAGGAGAGGGGGCTTCCTGTCAGGTAAGTTTCACTCTATTCTTTCACACCCTGCAGTATATCTCTTTGATTTTGACTGATGTGCTTATCCCTGAGCATAGCTTCATTAGTTCCATCTAATTCAGCTGGCCTGAGCTGTCGAGTGGATGGTCTCCCAGAGGCTAATCCACCCTTTCCCAAGGGAACTGTGTCCCAGAAACCTGACTGGAGTGGCTAGGGAATAAAGAAAAGCACAGGTACGTGTACAGAAAAGCAAGTTTCACGTAGGTTGTGCTAGCTCTGATGGAGGATACCAACTACAGAATAAACCAAGACCTCAGCCTGTTTATATGTACAGCACAAGGAGAGGAGTTAGCTGGTATTGGTAGGAGGTATCTGTAGGCCAGCAGTCTCCAGCTATGCGCATCCTAGATGTGGAAGCTCCAGTTGATTTTGTGTGCATTGATCAGTTGTTCATAAACACTTGTTCTTGTGCACACTGTTAACATTCACGTTCAGACCAGAGGAAGGCTTTGCCAGTCCCAAGTCTGACCAGCATGGGGAAGGCTTTGCCATTCCCCATGGTCCTTGACATGGCCAGGCCCATGTCAACAATGCACATTCACTTAGGACTTCATTCGCTTTTACACATTCACTCCAAGCTTCCTCAGCTTCCCACAGTATGAGACCAAAAGAACTAAATGAGAAGAAACCACAAAGCAGCAGTGTGCTCTTGCCAGGAGCAGTGTTTCCCTTGGGATTAGCAGCTAGACTCTAGAAAACCCTGCTGTAGCCTGACAGAAGTAGTGTTGTAATCAGACAATTAACTGTCATAGACCGGCCATGGTGAAGTGGTACATCTCTATCTTACATACAAAATGTGCGATAGTTTCTCTCCTTTCCTTCTTGGGGAAAACCAAAGCCCTTACAGTTTGTTTCCATTGCTGTGGCTGAGGAGATGTCAGCATCTTAACAGATGGAGAACTAAAACAGCCGCATGTTAGTTAAAGTTAGAGGGGAAGGGGTATTACCAAACTCCAGGAAGCCCCATTCTTCACCTGCTTTGACTTCTGTTTAAATTTATCTTTTGAGTCCCTTCTCCAGCTGCCATTGAGAATCCTTTGCAAAATAAGTAGAATTTAGGATTATCCAAATGAACTGGTATATTTTCTGGTGTCGACTGAGTTCTCTTCTCTTGTCTCCCTAAAGGGGAATCCAGATGATGGGTACACAGGTCCCCGTCTTGCTCTGTCAGAACCACATTTCCATACTCTAAAGCACAGCTGGAATGCATTACCTTGCATCCTGGCTGAAGATCACTGGCAAAGCATGTATTAGCAACTCTGCTGCTCTTTAAAGAAACAGGCTTGGAGGTGATTTTTCCTCTAATGCTCCATGCTAGGCCTGGGTGACTTTAAAAATTGATAATCATTCTTTTGCCCTATATATGACACAGCTGATCGGTGGCTTGGCCAGAAAAGGGGCCAGAACTTTCCATGATTTCACATTTTGGCTTAGGAATGGCAAGTCATCCTTGGTCCTGCTGCCTGTCTTTCTCCATTATTGTAGGTTATATGAGGCAGAAGGAAGGGGCTGCCTGGAAGTCCTTAAAATAGGACCAAGGTTCAGGTGGCGTTTTAACGGGTAGCTCTGAAATTGGCCACACTAGTGTTCTTGGGCCACATGAGCTGATGTCAACTGCTCTCGAGTTAGTGCCTGTTTCTACTATTGAAGCACCCAGAGGTTTGAGGGGCACTGGATGCCTGACTGGTGACATCAGGCAGCCAGAGACAGAAATTTCATTCTTGGCACCAACCCATCTGGCAATCAAGCTTTCTCCATTATGTCTACTTATCTAAAAGCCATGGTGAAATCAGCTCTAAATCTTGGGCCAGCCTCTCAGCTGAAGAAGAGGTCAAATCAGTTGGAATCTTAAATGTCAGTAGAGGAAAAGGTCAATTTCCAGTCCCCTCCATTTGAAGAGAAGTTTTATTTTTTGAGTAAGAGAATGGTTTACAAGTGTATGAATATACTCACTATACTCACTCTTTGCTGAACGTGAAGGAGCCCAATTCCCTTCAGATGTTTCTTTTCCAGTAGGAACTAAATAAAGGACACTTGGTAATAAAGTGACAGGCACTGCCTCCACATGGCATCCTAGCCTCCATCTCCCAGCCTTCTGCCTCCCATCAGTCATCCAGGAGATTAGATTACACATGCCGTAGCCTAACCTTTATCAAGATGCTCTAGGTCAGCTGTTACTTCACAGAGGATAAAGTTGGTTGGTAGTTTACTGGGGTCAGGGGGTCAGGGGATTCCATACTTAGTAGGATACAATGATAGCTATTTAGAGGATATCAGGTTCCATCAAATCTCATGCCCTCTGAGGCTCTCTAACATAGCCCATGAACTTGTTCCCATATTCACATGAACTCTTTCCCGTTGAGTCAAAGCTCTCATGCATGGCCCAGATTTATAAACATGCTGGCTGCCAACAGCAGCAAGTTATCTTCCTGGCCCACTTCTCTCCTGCTTTTTAACTCTGGTGTATGAAGTATGAGGAGGAAAGCACCAGAGAGGTGACCACTTGGACCTTTGGCTGGAACTCTTCACTATGCCAAAGCATTGGGTTTGTGGACAAGGGGCTGCCTGTGGCACACTTTTCTAGCCTCCTCAGAAGACCCTGCTGTAGACCCTGCTAGACCTAACCCTGCCAACCATCTGCCTGCCTATCGACTCCAGAGAAATGTGGTCTTTCCAAACGGATCTCTCTCCCTATTCCTTTCATGTACTGTTTGGTCTAGAAGGTCGCACACATTGTCTTTGGATTTTATTTTCATGTAGAAACTGCAAGCCCTACATGCTTTCCCAAGTAAGTAGTTGGGGAAAAAAATACAGTGTTAATTGTTTCATGAGCAGTAGTGAGAACTGGAATCCTCAAAAGACCTGAGTCCTCTTCCTGACCTGCATTTCTCTTTCTGACAGGCCTCTCAGCTCTGTGCCCAGCAGCCAGTCCAGAGTGAGCTAGTGCAGAGATGCCAACAACTGCAGTCTCGCTTATCCACTTTGAAGATTGAGAATGAAGAGGTATGTTTCCTCCCTAAAGGCTCAGAGCCACTGTGTGCTTGTTGAACTACTTGCGGCTGTCCATCAGGGGCAGGTGGAGGGAGCATGCAGAGAATGTCCGGTCTATTGCAAAGATTTCCTGGCCAAATGGAGGCTTGGGCTTTCCCTGCTGTTGCATCCTGCCCTTGAAATCCAGGAAGTTGTTCATACATTGCCAAAGGTTGCGCTCTATTTTGAGCTTTTACAAAATGCCCCTCCCCGCTACACATTTAATCAAAGTGGCACTTGGCTACTGTGAACAATATCAAGTCTCTGAAATGGCCCACTCATGACTGGCTTTTCCCAGCATTTCAAAAACAAACTTGACACTTTAAACATCTCTATCATCTTATAAGAGGGTGACTTTTATTTTTCTAAACACAGCATATTTTCTTTTAATAATCAATTTAAAGGGGCAATTTGATCAGTAATCTAGCTTTCTGTTGAGCTCAGATGGCTTCTTACCTTGTAAGTCTTAATTTTACAAAGAAGGAATAGGTTCGGGCTACTTAATTTGAAATAGGAAAACAGATTCATTGATTGGTTGAAGTGCCAGGAGCATTGAAGGACTAGACTTAACACATATTTTAGCTAGCTCTGGTATGATGGCAATACTGATTTGCAATTATTTTTTCTTTGCACTTCTATTATAATAAAGAAATAGTATTAAATCTTAAAAGTAAACATTGGGGTTGGAGAGATGGTTAAGTGGTTAAAAGCACTGGACATTCTTGCAGAGGACCCAGGGTTGGCTTCTAGCACCTGCATGGTGGCTCATAATCACCAGAACTTCAACCTCATAACCACCCTGAGCTCCAACACCCTCTTCTGGCCTCCACAGGCACCAGGCTGCATGACATACACATATGCTGGCAAAACATCCTTATACATACAATAAGTCTTTTTGAAAAAAGTCACCATTACATAGAAGAGCTGGTTAGGTACAAAGCAGAAAAGAAGTAGTGTTTAGGTGTTCACTGGAGAGAGCAGCATGCTGAAGCAGAGTCCCTGTGATGTCCATCACTCACTTAGCACTGTCGTCTCTGCTGGCACCCTCCTTCCTTCCCTACCCATCTCTTGAGAGGCGTACTTCCTCTCCAGCTTCTAGGTGCTCCATCGCCTGCTATTGCATAGCCTGCCTCTCATGATTGCTTTGGCCATAATGGTTATAGGTGAAAAAGACAATGGAGGCTACCCTGCAGACCATTCAAGACATCGTGACTGTTGAGGATTTTGATGTGTCTGACTGCTTCCAGTACAGCAATTCTATGGAGTCTGTAAAGTCAACAGTCTCAGAAACTTTCATGAGCAAGCCCAGCATTGCTAAGAGGAGAGCTAACCAGCAAGAGACGGAACAATTTTATTTCACGGTAAGGGCACTCACTGGCCTTAAAGGAGCATGTGCAGACACTGTGAACTCAAGAGTTTTTGTCAACTGTCTGAAAGGCAAGCTATGAATACACTAGATTTGAATCTGGCCTACTTGCACACATCTCTTAAAGCCACGTCACTTAAAGCCACACATCTACAAGTCGTTCATATCTACCGGGGACCTCAAGGAAAGGGATGCTCCTAAATTAACTACTAGGAAAAAAGAAATTTGAGAAAACTTCAACCAGATAATAGGCTTTCATTTCAAAGTAGCCCTGTCAGCCACAGAAGATCATGACAAGGGACTTAGTTTCTTGGTTTTTGAGAACTATATTCAAATATCCTTGCCAATATGTATCTTGGTTTAAAAAGTCTAAAGTCTCCCTGGGTGATTTGAATGCATTATCATATAACTTTCATTATTAGGAAGTTATTTTTCATAATATTGGTAATTATCAAGAATTCTAAAGCAGTATATTTTACTCATTGTTCTCAGTTTTTCATAGATAGGTGTGTGTGTGTGTGTGTGTGTGTGTGTGTGTGTGTGTGTATTAATAGCTCTTTGAAAGGTTTCTAGCTGGTCTTTTATGCTGCTTTTTAAAATTATCTTAAACTTGCCAAGTAGGACCTATTACTTGTACTAAGATTTATTTCCTTATCTTTTGATGTCCAAGAAAGGGAAAAAATGACTTTGCAGTTGTAAGATGAAACATGGCCATTGAAAATGCACACTGACCAAATAAAAGGACTTCCCTTGTCTTCCAGTCATGAAGCACACTCAGCATGAAGCAAATTAGATTTTTTCTTCCAGCTGGGACAATTTGTTTAATTTTTCTTTGAACATTGTCCTTTTTTCTTTAAGAGCACTAATATGATTGATTGGTGTTTTTGTAAATCTGTTTCAGTTAGTTAAGTCAAGTCTTTGGTGGTTTTGTTGTTTTAAATCCCAAAGAAAACTTTAAAAGGGTATGATTTAAGAGTATTGTTCTAAAACAACTGAACATTTTTTGTTATATAAAGAAAAATTTAAGTGATTTTATTTTTAAATCTAGAAACATATAACACATTTCACTATAAAAAAAACATTTTAAAACATGGTCATTAAACTCAAAAAGAAGAAAGTACATATGAGCATGTATTTAAAATTATTACTTACAAAAAAAAGACACCTTTGTATATATTGCATTGTAAATTTGTGTCATCCAGTTATATGTTCTAGCTGTTTTGGGGGTTTTGTTTGTTTTCTTGGTGGAATTTTCATATGTGCTAGGCAAGAGCTGTAACAATGAACTCTGTGTCCAGCCCATATCACATTTTCTAAGCAAATGCAAATCTAGACAAAAAGATGGAATGACACATTGCCTAGTTCATGGTGTTCAGTAACTGCCATTCACTTTACCATCATCATCATCAACCCATGCATCAATGACTATGAAGTTATTCGCTGATTCTCTGCCATGCTGGGGAGCAGACACAGGAGGATAGATCCCTGGGTCTTACTAGCCAGCCAGTCTAGCTGCAGGTCCCGTGTGAGTCCTTGCCTCAATAAATAAGGTTAAGAGCAATTGAGGAAGACACTGTGACTAGCGCTGACTCCGGCACATAATACACTCCCAACAAAAAGTAAGAAAAGAAATTTTGGACATGAAAATCCATACTTAAGACAGAACTACTTTTTGAATTAAACAAATAGATAACATATTCAGAAGTTGATGTTTGCTCCCAAACCAGAAAGCTGATGAGATGCCTTGCACTTCAAGAGCTCGTACTGAGGACAACATCCAGGGACTGACAACTGCCTATAACTCTAGATCCATCCTGGCCTCTGTGGGCGCCAGCACTCCCATGCAAATGCCCAATCATGTACATGCCCCACACAGAGACACATAATATAATTGTTCTAAAGAAATAAATTTATTCAAACTTATAGCCTCTAAAATCCTGCCTGCCTGTTACCCTCAATACAGTGGGGTTCTGCAACCCATTTCCTGAATTTGGTGGCCTTGGTACTTCTTATCAAATTATTGTGCACATTGCTTTGACTATCAGAAACTAGTTTTGGTTTAACTAGTAACTATCAGATTTGCATGAATTCATTATTTTTGTGGCTGGATCAGAAATGTGTCAGGTAATTATCTTCTGATAGCAGCATTTTTTCGTAGTGGTTGTGAAGTGGACAATCAGATCCCCAAATTAAAACTGAGGAGCTACCTGCCTAAATTTGCCAATACTCGTGAAAAAAAAAAAAAAATCAAAGCAGCACATTTGGGAGTTCCCTGCTCTTGGAAAGTTGTAAAGAGATCCCTCATTACAGCTTGACATAGTTTTCTGTCTGCTTGTGACTGTCATCAGATTAATTTGCCCATGTGACATCAGTTGGAAATTTGAAATATGTCTTGCAAAGTCTGTGGAAAATTATAAAATTTTAAACTGGAAGCAATTTTTTGACGGGGGGGGGGGTTCAAGACAGAGTTTCTCTGTGTAGCTTTGGAGACTATCCTGGCACTCGCTCTGGAGACCAGGCTGGCCTCAAACTCACAGAGATCCACCTGCCTCTGCCTCCTGAGTGCTGGGATTAAAGGCGTGTGCCACCAACACCCAGCTTGGAAGCAATTTTTAAATATCATCTAACCTAACCTTCTCACTTGAAAGCTTTGAAAAAATAATGGAAAATTCAGTGGGATGGATAGCTTGAACAAGGCCTTCATCAACAGCTGAACCCAGAACTCAAGTCAGCTGCTGGTCACAGGCGTTTCCTCTATGCCCTGCTGAGCAGCTAAAAGAAAAAGGCTCAGCAATCTCCTCCTTAATATAAGAAAATGTTTTCTGACCGCCTTGTCTTTGTGTCTGTCACTCATCTTCTGTAGACACCATCCCCCGGCATCTTCTTCTTTTCTTGTTGCATTGTAAAAAGACTCAAATATTTCAAAAGGAAACTAGGGAAAAAGTAGAGCCTTACCTTACCGCATGCATCCTTTTCTCCCTTCTGCCATTGAGTGAAACTAGTTCATTTTGTACTTTCAGAGATTTTCTATGCACAGGCAACTGGTGATATATCAGTGAGTGCCCCTTAATACAATAAACGACACTGGAAATTGTAATAAATGGGGCTGGGGAATGTAGCGCAGTAGTTAAGAGTGCCTGCCTAGCATTGTGTGACACTGTGGGCTCCCATCTTCAGCCCTGCAAGAGAAACGCTATGGAGTGACACGTGACAAGCAGAAGTGTACCTCTATCACTGTCTTCCAGTCTACTTTGATCACATTCTGAACACCACTCATGTTAGTCTAAAAAGATTTGTCCCACATCTCACACAAATCCCTTTCCAATGGCTAGACAGAATTCCACTGTATAGTTACATCATCTTTATTTAACCAGTTCTCTGCAATGAGCAAGAGTCCTCTCTGGTTGGCCAAGAATCATCAGAGCCTTAGAAAGCTGGAGTTTCTCCGAAGTATTTCGTTTTATGGAAAGTTGAAGTATGGGATTATCTTTTAAATAATGTTTTTCAGATTTTTTGTTTTATGTGTATGAGTTTTTGCCTGCATGAGGTGCCCTTAAAGGCCAGAGGGCATTGGAACCCTAGAACTGCACATAGATAGTTGTGAGCCACCATTGCAGATGTTAGAAACTGAACCCAGGTCATCTGCAAGTACAGTAAGTGCTCTTAACTACTGAGCCATCTCTCCAGCCCCAAGTATGGCATTTTCAAATGGGAGATGAAATGCAGAGGAGATTGAAAATTGTGGCTGATAAAATAACAAAGGCAAAGTATCTGAACTCTTAGGAGTAGATTTGGGTAAGACAATAGGAGAGAAGGCAGTCTTTTGTCCATTAAGCAAGCCACTAGACTTAGAGCTGTGATTTGGTGTATTATAGAGTGAGGGGAGGGTCTGATTATTATAATCTTGACCCTTGGTAATTAGTTCTTCCTAATTACCAAAAAAAAAAAACACTTTCTCGTCCCTTGGCTTCAGCTGTCTCAATTCTATGTCTGTTCAGCAACAACTGAATCCTTTTGCCTCAAGTTCACTAATAAAGGCAGAATTGTTTATCCCCAGCATGCCTGTCCTGATTTCTAGGTGAGGTAAAGAAGTGATGGATAGCATGTCTGCAGACTCTGGGATTCCTTTCCTTTCCCACCTAGATGCAATACGCCAACATTCTTTCCGCCCTTGCTTTAGGGATGCAGAGCGTATCTCGATACAGTTTGATCCTTTAGTATTTAGTGGAACCTGGAAAGGTAACATCATACCTCCTTATCAGATTGTTTTTGTTTTGATGCTTCAAGTGACAGCTCTGAAGTTACCTCATGAGCTGTAAACATTGGGGTTGGGGAAGGGTTTGGGAATTGAGAATAGAAATATGAGTGAGAGAAAGGAATTTTTATTCCTCCCCTTTCAGAATGTTGGCTGTATTGTGAGCATTCTGGTCTTGTATTGGAGGTCATAACTTTTTGAGTTTTCTTCATTAGGAAACCCTGAGACTCCTGGAATAACTTTCCAAAGATAGGCCTTTCGGGGTTGTACTATTAGCAATGGATTTTCCTGGAGGCTTTTTCACTCTGGGTCCTAAGTGTGACGCCAAGCCCACAATTAGGCACTGGATGGAGATTAGGATATCATCCAGGAACACTGACAGCAAGTGAGCTGACAGCTGGAACAGATGGAGAGAGGAAGGTGACAAGAGAGCCTATTTTCATGCAGATGCTCTCTTGCAAAGGCATAAAGGATCAGAGAACAGGTCTTAAATAAGACAGCAGAAATGATTTAACATAGGGTTTGTCTCTGGTTTGTTTCATTTAGAGTAGGGATACCACTAGGGACTGGTTTTGTAATTGCACAGAGCAGTTTATAAAGAGAAGAATGAGATCCCTCACTTATTTATTCTTTTATTTATTAAGTTCCTACTATTTTATAGGAGTGACATTAAGAGTCACACATAGTCAGGATAGTCAGTGACATAGTCTCTAGATAGAAAGACACCAGGGTAAACCTTCCGTGATAGGGTGTATGAGAATGGTGCCATGGGGATTTACAAGGTACCATAGGGCCATGTGGGCAAGCACAAGGGGCCCAGGGACCATCTCCCAGAAAAGCAGGTTTCCTTCATTTTAAATGGGAATGAGAGGGCAAGCTCTTAGTTAAAGCTTCATACTGTATAAAAAAAATAGAGAGAGAGTAAGAGTAACTCTGAACTTTTTATTTTTCTTTATCATTAATGAAGCAGTGATAGTCATAAAAGTCAAAGACTTGAAATACAATTTTTTTTAATTCGTGAACAGTAAAAGACAGAACTATTATTATTATTATTTATTATTATTATTATTATTATTATTATTATTAAAATGTTTATTCCTTGGAGCAAACCCAAGTCTTTCTAGTAACTTGTGGGTCATAATCTGGGAGATCCATTTGCTTCTAAGTTAAACATCATCATATGAACCAGTGCAGCAGGAATAGCCAAGGCAGACTCGAACCCTCAAGAATGGCTGTAGAGGAGAGCTTTAGCACTCACTAGCTTGCAGTCACACCCTCCCTCTCCTAGAAACGTCTTCTCTTCTCTAATAAGGAACTCCCGATATCTTCCTCATATATGTATAGGGCTATTGTAAAGGACAGACAGACTATGTGCTATGTGCTATGTGCTAACATAGTCTAAAGTCACCTGGGATGCTACTAATGTAAAAATAACGGTTACTATGAAATTTCGTTCTGCTTCTCTTTGGCTCTGCAATGTAGTAGGTGGAACATTTATTATAATACTTGAGAGCACGCACAATGCTGTCAAATTTCATGTTTGGATACTATTGTGTGAGAAAATTTTCCTAGAAAGACACATCACACACATCTACTTACTCCAGATAGACAGCCCATGACAGAACAAAGTACAGATACCATCAAAGTCCAACTTGGTGAACCAATGAGTTTTATTGGGGTTACCTGTAGAAGTATGGGTGAGGTGTTATTTACAGAAATGACTCCCATCTTCATCACAAAAGGTCTCCAAAGCTGGGCACCTGGGGCACACTGCATAGTCTGTAGGCAGCTCAACAGATTGAAGTATGTCCTTTGTAAGTGGTATAGTTAGTCTGAGCCTCCTCCAGGCAGATTGGCTGGTCTCTGTTTCTTTTCAGGCTGCTTGGCTTGTCTGAGAGTGACTTAGTCTATATTGTGTGTACTTGGGAGAGAGAGGCCTCATGAATGTGGTCAGTTTCGGGAACTTCTTGGGACTTTTTTGAGTAGTTTACTTCCCTGGGAAATATTTCAAAGGGGGTGAAGGGAGAACTGCTACACAACAGACAGTGTGTGAGTGACTTTTTCATCTTCAGCAATTTCATCAATCTCTTCAAACCCACTACTTTCTTCCCATTACTCAAGTAAAGTGGGAATAATGCTAATATTAGTTTATACCGTTGTTTGAAAGATTTTGTGAGTTATCCAGTCAAGCATAGTCTCTCACAAGCAAGACAAGAGTTGATGAGATGTCAAAACTGAAACTACAACACAGCAGTCATAGATTGCCTACTAGTGCAGGTGTGAAGGCACATCTCATCTTGTGCTTGGAATTTGCATATGCATAGAGTAGGTGGCAGCCACTCCAGCTGAGCACTCAGAAACTCCCAACTTTAATTGTTAGAATAGAGGATAAGACTTGGTAGAGTCTGGCTTATACAGGGGAGCTTTGTGGGTGAGGTTTACCATTGACACTACTCCTAGGATGATGAATGCACCCTGGGAGGAGCAGGGTATCAAAAGATAGCAAGTGCATGTCTTCACCCCAGTACAGCTGAGCCTCAAGGAAGTTGTCACACCATCCCTGCCGTTCTCATTCTTTATTAGGACTAAAGGACACAGGTGAAGGACTTTACTTAGAAAACAGTTTACTTATACTGGCTAACATGAAATTCATAGGAAAATACTGTGTAGGTATGCACCCACCATGAGAATCAGCGGAGAGAGAGGTTTTTTTTAAAGAATTTAAATGGACTTGCTAGAAATTGAGTCAGAAAGTCAGAAATCAAATGCCCTCTCATAGGTAATTGTCCATTTGAACATTTGTGCCTTGTGTTTCCTCAGGACTTTTAAGTTCTCTTGTTTCTCCTCTTCCCTTACAGAAAATGAAGGAGTACTTGGAGGGTAGGAACCTAATCACCAAGTTACAAGCGAAGCATGACCTCCTGCAGAAAACCCTGGGAGAAAGTGAGTGTGAGAATGGTCTGCTGAAGCTTGGTAGAGAAGAGGCCAGCATCGCTGTGATCCTGAGCACTTGCCTCCAGTCCTCAACCAACTAGACCCCGCTGGTTATATGAATGTGTTTCTTTGCCTAGCTTATTCATTCATTGTGAAAGTACTCCCCTAAATGGCTGCTTGAGTAATGGGAAGACGTCAGTGTGTAATGGAATGCTAATATTCACCAGCTGTTTCTTTAGATGGAGCGTGCCTGCTTTGCACCCAAACCCAATCCTTCACCTTTCTGTCACACCTGTGGTAAAGGAGCTTAGGGTTATCTTCTCTCTAGACACTTGTTAGAGCTCCAATCCTGGAGAGAGAAGGTCTTCAGATGGAGGGGGATGGGTATACTTGCTGCTTCTTCAGCTTCCAGGGTGAACATTCATTTCCTTTCATTTAAGTGGCAGCCATCTTTCTAATGTGGCTGCACTAACAGCAAAGCGCTGAATGGACTGTATTTTCTCTGGCAGTAATCTTAGCCAGACACTGGAAAGTACTGAGGTAGAGAACTGGACAGACATTCTGGACTTTCTCCCCAGTCAGCCGTCAAACAGAAGGCAGAGGCTGAAGAAGCGGCTTTCCCTGAGGTTGTTTGGCGCCTTGCCCAGGTCCCCTACCTAGCTTTCAGCATCGTATGATTAATGGGATTCCCAGGTTGGGGGTGCCCTGGATGTTCTGCCTTCCTCCTATTTCACTAATCTCTTTTCTTAAAGATGAGACCACAGGGAGCATGTGGTCTCATTGGCGACAGATGTGCCTGCACTCAGACACAAATCTAACATTTTAAAATAAATTCCTCAGCACTCATCAGACAAACTGTGAAGTCTAGCAAATTTTACAAGACTGATTGGCTTTTTAGCTGAGAAATTGGAATCCCACTTTTCAGACCAGACTCACCTACCCACACTTCTTCCCTTGTCTTTGTCCTACCCTGCACGATCCCCCCCACACACACACGCCCCGGAAATTTTCTTTCTCTAGTATCTTTGATTTTGTGAGTTTGTTTTTTGTTTGTTTGTTTGTTTGTTTGATGTTTGCTTTAATGTGAAAAGAGTCTTTTAGTACCTTCTGCTCTTTTCCACCCAAACAGTTCAAATCTAGGCATGAGAGCCAAATTTGCTTAACAGAAAATCTTTACTCTTGAGTTACCAGATTGCTGTGTGGTGAGTTAAAGGAAAGACAGCTTGTAGAACTATTTGAAGAAATTTACAGCTATGATTTCTTTCCTCGAGACAGTCTCAGCATAGGCTGGAAGACAGGAAAAGGCTTCAGAGCCATGCATGTGTGCATGTTTATACACATGTATACACCAAATAATGTTACTCTAGAGGGATGGAGGTTGACCAGAGGGGCTGCAAATTGCCATAATTTAAAGATGACAAGTTCCAGAGATAGAGAAAAATAATAGCTATAAATCATCCTATGTGCAAATTACCATATCCCTGCCTTCTGTGTTTGTCACCATAATATAAGAGCCTCTAATTCTTACCATAGAGGGATAATTGATGTGTATGAATATTCCAGAATGGAAATGGGACAGATGTTGAAAATAATGACTAAGAATAATATTTTTACAAATGAAAGCTGAGCCTTTGGTATTAGGGCTGTTCAAGATTGGGGGATAGTACTGCTGAAGATGAGCTAGACTATCTTAACAATTAGCAACACTTTAAATACAAGAAAACACCCTGCCTTCCCCATCCCTCAGAGTGGTCTTTCCTGAAGTTTGAATAAGGAGGATGGGAGTTGATCTCTTCATTTCTGGCTCACTGCCTGCCAGGGTTTGTCATGGATTTATCTAAGACAGATCAAGTTTGATTAACTGTTGGCCCAGAGAAGGCAACATATATTACATCATGGTTTATGCATGAATATATGAAAATTTTAATTAAAATATTTTTACCAACTTTAAAATTTTCCATTTCATTTTTCAAAGCTAACTATGGCCCATGAAAGTCTTAACCACCTATCATTAGATTGAAAGCCATCATTTGCTAGCCACATGGGTACTGAATCTTATCTTTGCCTTACTATGCTAGTGCAAGTTAACAGAATTTAGTATGGTTCTATAACTAGAACCTACATATTTTCTCCCTCCTCTCTCTATATTCTCTTTTCTTCCCAACCTTAACTGTATGTCTGTGAATGTTTGCTCATATGCTGACAAGTTTGTCCCATGCCCTGTGTCCCCTAAACCTACCTCTCATCACCACTACACACATATATAAGAAGCTGGATTTCATGTATGAAGAAGGCTTACAATAATTTTGTTTTCTCTAAAATATGATTGACGTGTTCTTCCCATATATCCATGCCTGTTTCCTCACTAGGGAAGTAGAACTGACAAGGTCCAAAAATATTGATGACTTTGGCATTAGAACCTGAGCAGCAGAGTTCCTGCCCAAATGAAGTTAGGGCAATCCTTTTCTGCTACTGGCTCCCTAGGAAGATATGAAGAACATGGCTGGCAATTCCTTGGGTGTACAGCCCTCAACCCTTCTGCTTCAACAAATACATTTTCCCCTTCTCTTTCCACAGGTCAGAGGACAGACTGTAGTCTTGCCAGGTAAGTGACTCTGGGAAGGGTTAAAGAAAGACCCATGAGCAGTAGCAACCTGGAAAAGAACCATAGAGTTGTATTGTAAAAGACATTGGATGACTGCAAAGGAGTAGCCTGGGGCAAGAGTTGCTTCCTTCTCTTTGCCTTCCAAACTCTGTCTCCTCCCAAATGGCTGTGGTGTTGCTGCCATTTAGGGAAGTCTAAGCAGAATAATGTCATGAGAATTATCACCTGATAAAAAAATCTTTCCTGTAACTCCCCAAAGCCACTATATTGCAAGAAAAATAAACATTGGACTCTGTTGCATCTTGGTAACTTCTTAGCTAGGAGACTTCAACATGGCCTTAGGGAAGTCTCCAACACAGAAAGATTAAGTGATAGCATTTAATTTGAGATTTTTTTTGTAGTATATGGAAAAGATGATAGGCCTTAATTAGTGACTGTTGGTGGATAATGAAAAATTATATTGCAGAATGGCTTGCCAAATAGCACTGGGCTAAATCTTTGCTGATGTACAAATATGCAACCCTCCCAGTCTTTCCCCACCTTCCCTCCCTCTCCACCTCAGCCAAATATTTTCCCTCACAGTCATTGATGCTGCTATGAGCTGGCAGAGAACAAGACATTCATTCAGCCATCACCCTCAGATGCCTAAAAATGTGCTGATTTAAAAGGAGAACATGCTTTAATGAACCAGATTGCATTGTATCAGCCTGGCAACTCATACAGTCATGAGGCCATTTATAGTTATAGACTCATTATTTAGTGATAACTCAATTTGATTTTCATCATTTTGTCATAGTGGATTACAGTGCAGGTCCCTTTAGTATAAAAATTCGTGAGGACTGGAGGGAACTAAGATGAATTCTGTAGACTCTATCTCCTAGTGGTATAGGCTTAACTTCATCAGAAATACCACATCTCTGGAAAGCCTAAATAGAACTGAACTGATTTCCCTCGCTGTGTTATTTCCCATGTGTAACTGTGGACTATTCATTTCCTCTCTCAGAATATCAGTCTCCTCTTGTTGAGGACAAGAGTATTTTGTCAGTTCAGAGAAGCACTAGGATTTCAGAAAGGTGCCGTAAGGGCAGGCTGGCAGCAGAGTCAGAGCAAGGCCCAGCATCCTTGCCTGGCTCCTACCTTCACCAAGCAAGGCAGTGCTGCCCTCCTTGTTTTGAGTAGTATGCTTCTTCTGTATTACCCTTCGAGAAAAAGGCTTCTACAGCTAAACACAGCTTGAAAAGCACTGACAGAAGGTCTCTGGGGCTTCCCTTCCATCTGAGTGTCCTACCATCTAAATAAAAAATAAAATAAGCAGTCCTTTTCTTTTCCCCAAGAGTCTCAAGAGAAAATATATACCCTTTGGTGTTTATTATTGTTTCCTTTCAAACAGAAAGATCTTAAAATTGTCTAACATGAATCTGTTTTACTCTAGATTAAATCATTTGCCTCCTATTTAAGTTTTAAACAGTCATAAGCATTAAAATCAGGGACCTCTGTGCTTTTATGAAGGAATAAAGTTTATTAGGCTTTGGTTGGGAAATAGCTTGCCAAGTCTCTTAGCTGTTTCTGGGACTGAGATCAATAATGTGATGTGTTTCATTACCTGCTGTACAGTTGTTTTACATGATTTAAAGCTTTGGTCCTGGACTTAGAAGTGGTTGTCTCATTCTGTCCCCATTTTCTCTTTTTCCTTCCTGTTGCTGGACTGGTCCTTTCTGGTTCGGTGTGTCAACCACAGGCGTAGCTCAACCGTGAGGAAACAGGTAAAGAGCCCAGCAGAGCCAGACTATTCAGTCTGCCTCATGAAAGCGGAGTACCTCTCATAGCCATGGCTGAATTCCATGGTGTGCCTCCTCTGACATCATGCTCGTGTTTGGTTGTATCTTTAGTTACAATATGTTTAAGACTCTAGCAAACACTGATTTAACTTTCCTGCAATTATCATAGGTTCTGTGATTTGTTCTTCTTGTTGTTAGTTTTTTAAGTTTCTTGCATGTTAGGTTTGGTTTAAATGTGGACAAATTGTTCTATAACAGCCCATGGTGTCCTTCTCTAGGAGACCATAAAGAGGCCTCACAATTCCTCACATACACACTGATGAACCAGCATTGAGGTAACCAATCCTCAATCTAAAAGGTGTTGTGTAAGTTTGTAAGTTTTAATTATGTCTGGTAACATGGTAATCTTAGTCGTATTCCTGACATACCCTAACAAAGTACGTATGAAACTGTTAGGGGAATGTTAAAAAAGAATTACGCAACTTGACAGGTTTGCACTTGACCTTCACCATTGTATTAAAATTCACCATTGAGCAGCCAGTTCTCACCCATGTTAAGAAGACTCTTAGCAGTGGCCTGAGTAATTCACATCAGGAGAAATCTCAACACAACTAAGCATCTCACACCAGCTTTGCAGGAGGGAAAGTTAGCAACAGTAGGAGTGGGAGGCATCATTCTGTCTACCCAGGAAAAAGCTGACCTAGGCCTTTAAAAAGTCATTTGCAGGGCTGGAAAGATGGCTCAGCAGTTAAGAGTACTTGCTGCTCTTCCAGAGAACTTAAGTTTAACTTAAGTCACCCATGTCAGGCCACTTAGAGTTGCCTGTAACTCTAGCTCCAGAAAATCCAACACCCTCTTCTGGCCTCTTAGGGTATGTGCACATGTGACAAAAATATGTATAAATGTAAATAAAAAAATGTTAATGTCTATTGTAGTCATGCACAGAGGCCCTAGACATAGGGCAATCATCAGATACAGAAGGCACAGGGTTTCTGCCCCGTTTCCAGCCCCAGCACTCTGTTCATGGATCTGACTACTCTGCCTTGGTAGGCAGTCCAGCTACAGAATTCACTTGACAAAGGCTTCTTTGTCTCCTCAGTACTTCGAAGATTTATTTATTTCATTTCGTGTTTATAAGTGGTTTGCCTACATGCATGTATAACATCATGAGCATGCCTGGTCTCTGTGTGGAAGTCAGAGGAGAGTGTTAGATCCCCTGGAACTGGAGTTACAGATAGTTATAAGCCACTGTGTGGGTGCCAAAACCAAACCTGGGTCTTCTCCTAGAGCAGCAAATACTCTTAACTACTCAGCCCTGTCTCTAGCCTTCCTCTTGACTATGAATATCATTTTAGTGAGAAAAATCATCTTTTTTTTTTTAATTGCAGCATCGTACTTACTATACAGCCCAATCTGGCTTTGAATTTGTAATCCTACTTCTGTCTCACAAATCCTGGGATTACAGACACTTGTTATCAGGCCTGGCTATACCTTTTTTTTAAATCATAACAATTCCATTGTAACTTTTCTACTATCTTATTCCTATAATTTTTTTTCTTCTCCTTTCTCCCCGGATTTCTGTTAAAACTTGAGGGAGGTGGACTGCCTCTCAGAGACAATTTGTTGCATTTAAAATTAATAGACATATGTTTTACAGACTAAGCAACCACTTTTCCTTTATTACCAAGAATAGACTTGAACTTGAATCCTTTCCACTTCTGGCCTAACTCTAGACCTCATGCACAGACATAGAACATGTATGTGGGAGCTTTGCAGCTTGTGCTGTAGCTGTGGGAGTGCTAGAGTGTGGCATGGAGTGTCTGCCCCTGGTTGGGATCACCATCAGCAGGGAGAGGCACCCTTCTGGTTTACGTTGCATACTGCTGCACTAGAGCAATTGCAGGCAGGGTGTTCCCCTGGTACCAGGTTTGCATCAGGGTCCTGGATTTACTACATGCCCCAGTCCAATAAGGTCCTTGTATTGATTGTTCTTCCCGTTTCTCTTCAGCAAGAGGTTTTTTTTCGTGGGTGGTCAGAACAGTAAAATCATAATTTTAAAGATCTTACATAAATAACTGGGAAATCAGTCTTTGTTTCTTGTAAATCAGCTAAATAAGAGGAATAACCTGGAAACCTGTTTTCCTGAGAGACTGTGTTCAAAGCAGCCCAGACTTTTCCTAAAAAGGAGGAACATCCCCCGTCCTCTGTTACTTACAGACATCCTTGTTCCACACAACCCTTTCATTTTCTCTCTACTGCCCCATCACCTCTCTCACCTCATTCCTGATCTTCCTTCCTTGTGTTTCCCTCAGGTGTGAGCCACTCTGGGCTTGTCTCTTTTTAAAGGATTTATTTGTGTGTGTGTGTGTGTGTGTGTGTGTGTGTGTGTGTGTGTGTTTGTGTGTTTGTGTGTGTGTGTGTGTATTTAGCCTATGTGTATGTCTGTACACCCTGTATGTACAGTACATGTGGAAGCCAGAGAGGGCACCAGATCCTCTGGAACTGGAGTCCTCAGTGGTTGTTAGTTGCCATATGAGTGCTGAAAACTGAACCTGGGCCCTCACAAGAGCAACAAGTGCTCTTAACTGCTGAGCCATCTCTCCAGCCCCAGAATTTTAAATGTTTAAATGTTGATAGAGATGGTTATATTTAACCTGCCTCAGACATAATTTAGTATCTATATGTATCAAAATGCCACATAGTATCCCATTAATACATACAGATTTTATGTACCAGTTAAAAATTAGTTTTAAGACAAAAAATTAATACTGAAAGAAACCATGCCAAACTGTGAATATTATGTAAATGTCATCCTGATAGTTTTCGCCTGTAAATTACTGACTGTTGCTCTACTCTCTTTTCCAAATTATGCCAACTGTCAGTTCCCTCCAGCTTCCTTAATCTGATTGAATGGAAATTTTCCCTGATTGTCCTTAGAAGTCCTTTCCAACCTAAGGTTATATGATAAAAAGCATTGTAAGCAAAATAATGAAACGAACATTGATTCATTCTAACATTGAGAAAAGAAGGGAGAGAGAAAAAATGAATGAGAAAATATGGAAAGTGCTGAGGAAGTTGTATGCAATTAGTGATGACGTCTAGGTTTTTGGGGGTGTCATGGGAACACATAGGCACACCTGGGAAAGTGAATTCACTTGTGGCTTAGAAACATCACAGGTAGCAGTGAGGACATCTAGAACATTTGAAACCTGTGTACTGTTGTTCCTTATTAAGCTCTGCCTTAGACTCCATGTTAGCATTCTGGAGTAGGATAGATGTCTCTGGCCTACCCTGTCTGCCACAGATTATTCCTCTGGGTTACTTCTTCTGGTGGGTTGTTGGTGACCATACACATGCAGCTTTGGTTCCTTGTTTCCTGAGAACTCTATGTTTGTCACCCCCTACTGTTGGTAGAACATTTCATGCACAGCCAGACAGAACTTTGCATTCACATATTTTTTTAATGCCAGGAACCTATAAGTTTCCTAGTGTCCTTCCTCCCTCTTTAACTTTAAATAAATCTAGGGCCAAAAAACTCTGCAAATCCATTTCTGCCACCTTCATTATCTCCTACACAATTTCATATGAATGGAGGCTTTCCCCCTTGTGATACCTCGAGCCTAGTTTTCATTAGAATAAGGAAGAAAGGACCAGGTTCTTCCTCTAAGGTTACTTGGGCTGACTGGCAGAAGTCAGTGATTTAACAAAATGTCAGACCCTGGCTGCTGTACCTCAACAGCTAGAGGAAGCAGTCGGGTTGGGGGCGGTGGGTCACAAAGATGAACATTTGGAGCTAGGTGTGGTATCACACCCCATTAATCCCAGGGAGGCAGAGGCAGGCAGATTGCTGTGTGAGTTTGAGACTATTCTGACATACATAGTAGTTCCAAGCCAATCAGTGCTACTTAGTGAGACCCTATTTCAAAAAAAGAAATAATAATAATAAAATGAGCTTTTGTGACACTGAGACCTTTCTGGCTCCAGCTCCTTTGGCAGCATCCTGATCACTGGTAAGCTTGGAACAGGCCAAGCCATCTCTTCTCTTAGCCTGACTCCTTCATGAGACCCAGCTGCTTCATGAGACCTTATACTAGCCAAACCCCATGGCTACAGTTGAAATTCCAAAGCCAGATGGGTGCAATCCAACCTGTGAAATGGGCAGAAGATACAAGGATCCACCCCCACTGTAGAATCCAGTCTTTCCTGAACATAGGAAACGAGGTTTTAGAGCCATACATGTTTTTCTTTCATGTAGCTACATTTTAAAAACCAATAATTGGTATGCAGTGTTGGCTATCCTCACAGGATACAGTATGAGTAACAGAATTAAGTCCTGGCTTTTCTACTTATTAGTTATGTGATACAAACAACATTAACCTCACCAAGCCTCATTTCTCCATTATGAAATGAGAATAAACAACACTAATAATACACCATAGAGGCAATCTATCTAAGAGACGTTGTATGTGAACCAACACCTCTGTAAGTGTGGACATTAATATTCATGTACCTGGGCCTGGAGAGATGGGTCACTGGTTGTGAACACTGGTTGCTCTTGCAGAGGACCTGGGTTTGATTCCCAACACCCACATGGTGATTCACAACCACCTGTAACTCCAATCCCAGGAGATTCAATGAATTCTTCTGACCTCCTTGGGCATCAGACACACAAGTGGCACACCAACATGCATGCAGGCATATAATATTCATATTATTATTATATGAGGATTATATGTAATAACCCATATAATTTAAATGGAATAATCAGGATTGTATTGAAAAAGGACATCTGGGAACCCTACTTTACATATTCCCATGTCATTCTCACTATTTCCAAGAATTGCTTTTTCTTTTCTTTATTACCCTTATTGTGCCAACCAAACCATCTTTCTTTCTTTTAGGTTTTTAAGCTTTATTTTTCATGTGCATGGGTGTTTTGCCTGTTTCTGTCTATCTCTCTGTCTTCTGTCTCTCCCTGCCCCCGCCTCTCACGCTAAAAACTATAGCTCTTTTCTGTCATTTTTAAAACCACCTGCCGCCATTTCCATCACCATATCCATGGCCACCACTATAGCATCAATGCAGTCAGGCTGGGGGCGACCAGCTAGCAATTTCATCTCCATTTTGAGACTGGACTCACTTTTTCTATCCTTGATTCGAATGTCTGTATTTCTTTTCTGTGTTTCAGGATTCCAGCCAGGCAATTCCTCTGGTGGTAGAAAGCTGCATCCGGTTTATTAGCAGACATGGTAAGCAAGAATACAACTTTGCTCATATTTGTGAAAAGTTAGAACTGCAAAGAATTCTTTGTAGAACAAGAGTAGAGGTCGTTGGAGCTGGAGAGATGGCTCAGTGGTTGATAGTACTTGCTGCACAGCCATGGGGACCTTAGTTTAGATTCCAGAACTTGCATATCAAGGAGAGCAGACTCTTAGGCACATCTGTAGCTATAGTGCTGCGGAGGGCAAAGATGGGAAGATCGCTGGTGCTGGCTGGCTGCCACCCCAACCTAAAAAAAAAATCCTGTACGGTCCAGGTTCAGGGGAGAGACATTGCCTCAAAGGAGTAAGGCAAGAAGTTTAGAATAGAGACTAATCAACACTGTCCCCTGGCCTCCATAGCCACACACTGGGACATGTATACATATATGTGCATGTACCCCAGAGAGAGAGCAACAGAGGTTGCCTTCTCATCCTCACATTCTTAGAAAAGGAATAAAATCTACTTACTCACATAATGTTTGCTCCTTTAGGAAGGCCCTACCTACATGTTGAAAATAAACATGTTTTGACCTAGCCACTTACCTTGCTCTTTGCTGGCTCCAGAGTTTTAAAACCCAGCTACTTTGTGAAGAAGTGCAGCAAGGTCATGTGGTGGTGGTAGTGAAACTAATAGTTACAGCCTTAGTGTGTGTGGGTGTCTCTTATGGCGTAGCCTACCCATTTTGTTCCATTGGTGGTACCAGAATGGCTTGAAACAATTCCATCTATGATGTTGCACTGACTGCGTATATAGTATTTGGGTTTTGTCTTAATTTGGTCTCACTAGGTACATTGTCCCCATGAGCTCAGTTAATAACTGTCCTAAAGTTATGTCCACCTTTTGAGTGCCTTCAGGGGTCCTTCTTGGCATCAGTCAGATTATACTTGCTTTCTGCTGGGGCAAAGCTAAGAGATTTACCAACCTACAGCAGATTAGACAGACTTTAGGGTTAGAGATGATTGCCAGCAAGTTTATTTTCCAAAGCTGAGAGTATTTTGAAAGTACAGATAGCTATATTGGCCTTAAGCATGTCTAGAAACTAGCATCAGAAATTGTTTTTAAATACTTAAAAAGGTTATAAGATGACCATCCTAGAGCAAAAGAAACCAAGTATTGTAATCTAAGGCAGCCATTTTTTCCTTCCATTCCCTTGCCTATCTCCCTACCTATAAACTGAGATGTTTCTTAGATTCATTATTGAAACAGTAATTATTAGCATCCTTATAGTTTATCCTACTTTCTATCAACTATAAATTTTTACTGTTATCTCAGTTCACTTGAAGTAAGAGCATACTGTTCATCACTATTGAACAATCAACAAATATTTTATAAGCCCCTGACCAGTGCTGAGTACCATGTATTGCCAAGAAAGAAAACATAAAGAGAAGTAATACAATATTCTTGTCTCTAAGTGCTTTTGTGATGCATTTGGAAGAAAATAGGCAGATAGTAAGTTAATGAAAAGAATAAAGTAGTAGTAAATGACAGTAACAGAGTAAGAAATTTACAAGACAGCAGTAATTAATACCAAGGAGCTGGCAAAGATGAATCCAAGCAGGGTTCAGTAGAATAATCATTATTGGTTGCTAAAGAACAATGGGAAGAAGTTGTGGATTCATTCATCCATGCATTCACTTGTTCATTCAATACAGAGTCTATATTGATTGCTTATTATATGCCAGTAAAAAGGTTCCTCATGAACCTTTTGTTCCACTGAAAAACAGATGATCAGCCAGTACACAAATTGACTTGCAATATTTCCAGTGCTGGTGTATGTCATGAAGAAAAGCAAAACAAGGTGCAGGATGGAGAATGGAGAGAGGCACTGTTGCAGTGGGTCATGGAAAGCCTCATGTCACATTTGAGTGGAGTTGTGAAGAAGAGGGAAAGTGATGTGTCCATCTGAGGAAGAGTATTTTGTTAAGAGAGAACCAAAGACCGGAAACTATTGACATATGTAAGGAAAAGTGCACAGGCTGAAGGGAAAGAGTAAAGGGAGGCTGAGAAGAGATGAAGACACAGTGTTCTTAGAGTTTCGTTGGCTACAGTAGGTATTTGGGTCTTATTCTGAGTGGGATGGGAACTGTGGGAGAACAAGAATCTATATTTGAAGTGTCTCTGGATGCTGCCTAGAGATTGCAACAGAAGGAGGAAATAGGAAGTTCCGGTAGTAAGCCAGGGATGTTATAGTCAATGAATTACTATAAAGGTGTGTCTCAAACAGTATTTAAAAAAAATAAAAACAAAACCTGTGCATAAGACTGCTTGCTATAGCATTATTTATAATTGCAAATACTAGAACCATCCTGAGTGCCCATATATAGAAGAGTGATTGAAAAGCTTGGTATGTCCATACAGTGGAGTCGTGTATCATGGTGAAGATGGTGAGCAAGAGCTCCATAGGCTGATTAGAGACAGGTCTAGGATATATTGTTAAGTCAAAAAACAAAAGACAAAACAGTATGTACTCTGCCTTCACATAACAATGAAGATTTGCAAACATATTGACTATGTATGTATCTTCTCATTTCTACAGAACAATACAGGAACAATAAGTCTAGAAGCTAGTATTTTACTGGTTGGTCATTACAAGTAGACAGTGGATGTAAATAATGGAGCCATGGAAAATAAAATAAAGAATGATTATATTCTCTTGTGCGGTTTTAACTTTAGAATGATGTTAGCATTTTCCATATACAAAAGATAAATAAATAAAGCTGAGATGTGAATCAAAGCACAAACAGAATGTGAACCTAGCTGCAAGTAATGTGAGCCTAGCTGCATTACAGATGAGGAAACTGAGTCACTAATAAATAACTTTAGAAAGCAGCTTTTTGATGATAAGACTTCAAACTTACATTTAGTTGGTAAAGTACCTATTGTGTTCAAGTTCAAGGACCTGAGTTCAGATTCCCAAAACCCACATAAAAAACTGGGCATGGCAGCACATGCCTGTAACCCCAGTGCTAGCTATATGTGTCAAGCAGAGACAGGCAGATCACTGAGCCCCATTGCACGGCCAGCCCAGCGAAAGCAAAGAGACTGAAGTCCAGCAAGGGACCTTATTCCTATAGTAGTAAAGGTAGAGAACAAGAACGTCAGGAAGAAAGCTGATAATGACCTCTGACTTCCACACACACACATGTACCTGCAATGCTACATACACTCAAAAAGACAAAAGGACATATAATAAATATATATAAGAATTAATACTTTTTATCACAGAAGTGTTGGTTAACAAGCAGAAATTTTGTGTATTCCAGAACTAAACAATAAATACATTGTTGCAATGTGGGGAGTGGATGTATGTTAAGATAAAGTCTTACTGTAGAGCCATGACTGGCCTAGAACTTATTAGAAAAACCATGCTGGCTACAAATTTGCAGTGATCCTCCAGCCTTGGCCTCCAGAGTGCTAGAATTGTAGGTCTGAGCCACCACTCCTGGCCATTGTTGTTTTCTTTTATTTTAATTCAGCATATAACAGTCAAAAAGTATTTGTCTAGCTGAATTGGCTTTTTTGCCCAAGGAAAGAAATTCATGGAGTCCCTAAAAAGCTATGCCTAATTTTTTTGTGTTTGTACATTTAGTGGAGTCATAACCTTTGTTAACTTCAGAAGAGTGTATGGCACATCAAATGCTAGAAATTTTTACATCCTAGCAGTTATCTTCTAGAAGATAAAGATTATTATAGTTCCCATTATATAGATGAGGAAACTAACGCTCTCTGTAGTGGTGGGTCAGGGTGACCCATGAGGACATTCAAGAGGAGGAATTTGAGGAACCACTAAAATAACCATGAAGGGATTTTTTTTTTTTTAATTTACCATTTTCAAGAAAGGAATGTGAGGTGGTTGTTGCAGCAGTCAGTTCAAGAATTATCCAAGAGAGCAACTCTTTTTTTTCAAGAAATTATTTTTTTATTAGTTCAAATTAGAAACAAGCCTGTTCCACATGTCAATCCCTGCTCCCTCCCCCTCCCCTGCCCCCACCAACTCCCCACCCTATTCTCCCTCTACTCCCCAGGGAGAGTGAGGCCCTCCATGAGGGATCTCCAAAGTCTATCATCCTGGGCAGGGCCTGGGCCCTCCATGTGTCCAGGCCAAGAGAACATTCCTCCACATGGAAGGGGCTCCCGAATTCCATTTGTGTGCCAGGAATAAATACTGATATACTACCAGAGGCCCCATAGAATGCCGAGGCCTCCTCACTGACATCCAAGTTCAGGGGTCTGGATCAGCAGTCTGGGGTCCATGCACTCCCCCTTGTTCAGGTCAGCTATCTCTGTGGGCTTCTCCAGCCTGGTCTTGATCTCTTTGCTCATCACTCCTCCCTTTCTGCAAGTGGGTTCCAGAGTTCAGTTCAGTGTTTAGCTGCGGGTGTCTGCCTCTGCTTCCTTCAGCCACTGGATGAAGGCTCTAGGATGGCATATAATGCAGTCATCAGTCTCATTATAGGGGAAGGGCATTTAGGGTACCTCTCCACTATTGCTTAGATTGCCAGTTGGTGTCATCCTTGTAGATCTCTGGAAATCTCCCTAGTGCCAGATCTCTCCTTGGACCTATAATGGCTCCCTCTAATATGGTATCTCTCATCCCACTCTCCCCTGTTCTTCCCCCGACTCAACCCTCCTGCTCCCCCCATTTCCTCCTCTCCCCTTCTCCCTCTCACATCTCCCTCTCCCCTACTCCCATGCTCCCAATTGGCTCAGGAGATCCTGTCCCCTTCCCTTTCTCCGGGGGACCATGCATTCTTCTCTTGGGGTCCTCCTTGTTTCGTAGTTCCTTTGGTGAAGAGGATTGTAGGCTGGTAATCCTTTGCTCTAGGTCTAAAATTCATATATGAGTGAGTACATGCCATGCTTGTCTTTTTATGACTTGGTTACCTCACTCAGGATGGTTTCTTCTAGTTCCATCCATTTGCCTGCGAATTTCAAGATTCCATTGCTTTTTTTCTGCTGAGTATTTCTCTGTTGTGTAAATGTACCACATTTTCTCTATCCATTCTTTAGTTGAGGGGCATCTAGGTTGCTTTCAGGTTCTGGCTATTACAAACAGCACTGCTGTTAACATAGTTGAACATATGTCCTTGTTGTATGAATGTGCATTCTTTGGGTATGTGCCCAAGAGAAGAATTGCTGGATCTTGAGGTAGACTGATTTCCCATTTTCCTGAGAAAACGCCATACTGATTTCCAAAGTGGTTGTACAAGTTTGCATTCCCACCAACAATGGAGGAGTGTTCCTTTTCCTCCACATCTCTCCAGCATAGATTGTCATTGGTGTTTTTGATTTTTAGCCATTCTGGCTGCTGTAAGCTGAGTCCAGCAGGTTCTATGTCATTTCCAACTAGCTTACCCAAATCCAATGGGTTTTTATGCTTTTATGTTAGTGTGTGCTAAGAAACGAAGAATAGAGATTATGGAAAAGCCAACTGGTTTCTCCTTTGTGGAAATTTTATTGTTTCTCCTCTCAGAATTACCACATCAGGTACTCTAAAGAGATAATATGTCTGGTGGGCCAGTGAGATATTTCAGTAGGTAAAAGTACTTGCCTTGCAAGCTGATGATGTCAGTTAATCCTCAGACCACAGACCTCCACACATGTACCATGGCACATGTACCTGTACACACACACACACACACACACACACACACACACACACACACACACACACACACACACACACATCTGGCTTTCTCACACAATAATAAGTGGTCCTACTAGTAAGTGGTCCTAATCTAGGGCATCCACTCTCTAGGAGAACTGAAAACCAGACTGAAGTCGAGCTCAGTATTTTAGGCCAGTTGTCTGATTTCCAACAAGCTCATCTCTCATTTGTTCTTCCCTGGTCCCACAGGCCAAGGCTACATTTCCTTAGCCATCAAAAGTACCCAGAAGCACTGAGGTAACCCTCTCAAGAAGTTGTGTAGCACTTCTCCAGCTAAAACACACCAAGTAGCCTGGTTTAAGATGGCATTTCCTCATACCCTGTGTTTCTGATAAGTTCTTGGGTGTGTTTCTGTCAGAGCCTTGCTGTTTATGATATATTCTGTGTTTAAACAACAATTTCTGGCTCTCATACCCTATTTGGTAACTAACATAATACTACTACCTCACTGGCACTGATGGGATTTTAATATCGCTTGCTATACTATGAGGACTATTTTAGAGATTACCGTAGAGGGAAAAACAACTTACATCTTATTACAGTCCAGGTAATCACATTCCCTTTGCTTCCTTCCAGTCGTATTTCCCACAGTTTCAGACTTGGCCTGTGTGGTATAGCTTCAGACATCTAACTAATAGAATATAACTCCCCTTACTTCAAGGGTAATTCTGAAACAGCCAGCAAAATACAGCATTATTTTATTTTGTTTGTTTTTCTAAAATCAATCTGAGGTTTATACAAGGCTTTTGGAGGGGCACAGAGAAAGGTTGACAAAGGAGACCTAGGCTTGGAAAAAGACTGAAAGTCCTGATACTGCTAGGGATATCAGCTAAGCCCCTTGCTGGACCAGTCAGTGGTGATGTTACAGTTGCCTGTGTGGTGCTTTCTACACTGTGTCTAAATACAAACAGGCCAAGATGGCTCCCTCCCATCCTCTGCACTTGCAGACCAATAGCCCCATCACCGAAAACAGTCTGTGATTGCAGCCACAAGACTGCCTTTGAGCTCTGGTCCTCATTCTTGCTGTGTAACTGAAGGCTGGTCATCATTCACCAGTCTCCTCATCTAGAAGATGGGATTGCTGCCAACTCAGACTTTGAAAGGTTATATGAGGACCAAATATTTTATATGAGAGTCAGTGGCAGTCATTATATAAGCCTTATTTTCCATGACTGTCTACTCCAGCAAAACCATGATAATACAGTTTTTATGTGTTTTCTTTAGAGAAAGGTAGCAAGCAATCAGGGATCAGTGCCTAGGACAAAGACTGACAGTGTTGTCTGTGGTTGTTCGTTTTTGGTTTTTATGTCCTCTGTTTTTCATCAGTTCAGAAAGCATTGTCCCCTAGAATAATGGAGATGGTATTAAAATGCTTAAGACTCCTAACAACCTCAACCTTTCTCTGCTAACTTCTCTAATGGTGCCTAATGCCTTGCCTGTCAAGACCCACCTCCATTCTTAACTGTGGGCAACAAGAAAGCACCAACAAGTGACTTCCCCACTCTACAGGTAGGGACATAAAACTACAGGCAGGAGAGACAACACCCTGGGAATCTCCCTTGGAATCAGAAGAGGTTGTGAGCATCCTTTCCCTAAGTCTTTGGCCAGATGCTTTCCTTACACTAATGCCCCGTAATCCTCCCAGAGACTTTTCCAACATCACTGCCCTGTTTTTCTCCTTTGTCCTAAACCAGAAAAGACAAAATACTTAAATATGTGGTACCAATGGAGATGGGTATTCTACTAATATTGGCCTTATGACTATATAAACTTGCTTTTTTTTTTTTTTCTTCATTTTGACCACTCTATTTTGTGTGTGTCTAGGCCTGCAACATGAAGGAATTTTCCGAGTGTCTGGATCACAAGTGGAAGTGAATGACATAAAAAACGCCTTTGAGAGAGGTGAGGTGGGAATAAACAGCTGTAAGATAAGACAACTGTTTCAGCCCTGTGGAGATGGCTCTACTGTTTCCCCTAGAGTTCCCTATGCTTCAAAACCTAAGAGATTGCCTGTTTTCTCTGTACTTTCAGTAAGTACACAGAGAGATGTTAGGGCATGTCCCAGCTTCCTTCTTTCTTAGCCCCACCCATCCTGCCTCATTCCTGTGATGATCTGCCAAAACCCAAGTAGTTACCATATATCCAGACAGTTAATAGCCTCGTCCAGAACCCTTGGTGGCAGTTAATATCAAAGCTAATGTGCCTGTTCATTGTATCCCATTTATCATCTTGTGGTCTATTAAGGTAATGGGCAAGCTTTGGCAATTTCTGTCACTGTAATGGATATATATAGTTTCAATTTAAGGTTGGTGTTATCATTAAATTTAATTACACTTGATATGAAAATTTCCATTGGGATTCTGGGATGACTGTTCTGTCAGTAGGTGTCCTCTGGTAGTCAAAGAAGCTGGCCTCCTGGCCTTGTTTCCCCTCCAGCAGAGGCTCAGTCTCCTTCCAGTTTCATGATTCTTGTTAGAGAAACAGTTCCTTGTTTCCACCCCAACCCACAGGAACATTCATTAGCCTGAACAGTCTGCCACATCCTGACTGTCAGGCTGGGTAGAGAGATAATGAGATGAGGATGCTGTGATTTTCCTAACTCACTTTCTTTCATTTTGGGCTGGGGCTTCCTATCTTCAGGAGAGGACCCTCTGGCTGGGGACCAGAATGACCATGACATGGACTCCATAGCTGGTGTCCTCAAGCTTTACTTCCGGGGGCTGGAACACCCACTGTTCCCCAAGGACATCTTCCATGACTTGATTTCCTGTGTCAGTAAGTATCATTGTGCCCCACAATGGCAGTAAGACATTTGGAAATTTCCACCAATTTGTTTGCTCATAAGCTTTTCAGTAAAGTTTTTCTTTCTTTCTTTATTTCTTCCAGTGAGTATCACCTCTTTATCTCTACTGTTTTATCCCTGGTAGGGGGAAAGAAAGAATGACTTAACAGTAATAGTATAGAATCCAAGTCAAGTCTCCTGGCTTTTTCCTTTCTAATTTATCTCAGTCATTAATTCCTTCACATCTCTGGTTTATCGTTTTTTAGTAAAATGCTTTTATATTCATCCATCTTAAAACTTGTATACAATGTCTGTGCTATTAATAAGACCAGAGAAAAATAAACACTGACCCTGCTCCCTGTTTTGTATGTGCCATGGCTTACCTGCTGCTACACGTATTAACACGGGTCTGTGAATAAGAAAAGCCCCTCTGTGTACTTGAAAGTAACCATTTACTATTTCCCCAGAGAAAGGTCTCTGTTTTCTTTAGAGTTCCCTTTTAGGGCTTGAAAGTTATTCCTAGACATTTAGTTTATTCATGATACTGAAGGATCCTATCACTTGATTCCATGGAAAGCAATCCATGGAAATTTAAATTAATAGCAAGTCATTCAGGAAGTAGACTATCCTATCCTATTAAGGGTTTCTGTTGCTGTGTTTTAAACAAAAACAACAACAAAATGACCAAAAGCAACTTGAGGAGGAAAGGGTTTATTTCATCTTACACTTCCATCACTAAGGGAAGTCAGGACAGGAACTCAAACAGGGCAGGAACTGATGCAGAGGCCATGAAGGAATACTGCTTACTGGCTTGACCCTTAAGGTTTGCTCAGCCTTCTTATAGCACCTGAAACCACCAGCACCCACAGTGAGCTAGGCACTCCCACATCAATCAAGAAAATACACACGCTTACCCATAGGCTAATGTGATGGGGCATTTTCTTAATTGAGATCCCCTCTTCCCAAATGACTCTAGCTGATGTCAAGTTGACATAAAGATAGCACTATGTAGACCCTACCGGAATGATAGCCTCAGAAGGTGAAAAGAATAAATGCAGAAAAGGCTTTTCCCAGGTTGAACAAGGCATTCATGCCTCCTAAATTTTCAGTTTGACCCAGCGTTTGGTCTGAATACTTATTCCTCTGTTGGTTGTTCTGAGAAAAACCAAGGGCATCTGGGATACCAGTTCTCTTTGTTTGTTCACGTATGTGTGAGAATCTGATGGAAAGGAGTTATGTTGACAGTTACATACATGCATTACTTAGGTCATATCCTCATGTATTTTCCAAGACTAGACCTAAGTGAGGTCTCTTACCTTGGGCTGGAGTTGGCAAGATACACCAGAATCCTCAGCCACCCAGTTCTTCTTACTCTCACTCCTAATCCAGTATTTGCTATTTCTTATTCATTTAAGACAGCCTGATCAAGTCCATCTTGACACACAGTCAAAGGCTGTTAATGACAGAAACCACAGGCAGATGGCCAAATCTGTACTAACCTGACCATAGCACTAAAGTCAGGAATCTTCTCTGGTCTTCTTCACAGCTTTTACTGCTTATCCTGGGTCCTGATCTCTCCTCTCTTTAGTCAGGTTCTGTTCATATCTACTTTAGGTAAGAGAGGTAGAAGCCAGACTTCTCCAGGGGAGGAAGAGGTACCTGTGTGTACAGGAGTCAAGAAAGGACTTCCACAGCCTCTGTCCCTTCTCATGTGTGGGACCCTTCAAGACTGAGCATTCAGTAGTCATGGTAGGGTGAAGGTCAGCTTCATTAGAAGGGGAATGTACCAAACTAGTCTGTGCCCATGGAGCATACAGCCTGAGTCCTGTATCAGTCAGGCTGTGTGGATCCCAGCACGGGGTCTCTTGTAGCAGCCTCATCCCAGAGCATCCAGGATGACACTCCTGTCACCATACCAGGGCTGTAGATGGGCTGGCTCTGCTTGCTCTATGAGTTGCACTGCTGATGGAAAGAAATTTCTTACTGTTCCTCTCCAGGATTGCAGTCATGCTAGAGGGGTAACACATGCCTTTCTTCTTTCAGCAATGGACAACCTGCAAGAGAGAGCTGTGCATATCCGGAAAGTCCTTCTGGTCCTGCCCAAACCCACTCTGATTATCATGAGATACCTCTTTGCCTTCCTTAATCAGTGAGTAGCTTTCACAGTGGTGAGCCTGGCTTTGACTATCCAGGACTTTCATGGGGATCTATGTCTTACCATCCATCCTAACAGATACTTACTTAGCATCTACCATACACCAACTACAGTGCTGTGATGTTAAATGGAAAAAGAAAGGCCTTTTATCATTAGATCATGGTCCAAGGAAAAAAAGAGACAATAGTAGATACATCAGGTAGAATAGGTGCTAAGAAGAAAAGAAGAGTAAAGATGGGGATAGAGTTAAGAGGTCCTAATGGACAAAGGATGAAAGAAGAGTTAGTTGAGAGATGTGCTTGCCACAGAGGCCTGTCTGAGAAGACTGGGTATAAGCAGTAACCTGAAGGGGACAAAGGGGGCCTATAAGGACATTGGAAACTTGAGGGTCACAGTAATAAATAATAAGTTTGAGTTTGGGAAATGACGTTAAAGCCTTTAAAGAGAAAAATGGTATGATATGATGTTTAGGTATTTTCAAATCTGCCAGTTACTTTGTGGAGAAGTTACTGTAGAGGGTCAATGAGAAGAAAGACCTACTCCAAGGTCGTGACATGGTCTGGCTGAGGTGTTGGTAGACCAGAAGATGACAGAAAGGGTCAGGCTTATGATATGCATTGAACACTGGGTGAGACAGGCATAGCTTACCATGATCCCCAGCCTTCTCCATGTTGTCATCTCTCATCATGCCGGGTCTAGGTTTCCATATAACTAAGAAATAGTTCTATGGATTCCTGGATCCATCAAAACAGGGAAACCAAAGGTAAGTCAAGGGGCCAGAATATTATAGTTTTAGTACATACCTTGTAAATATGAAGTTGTCATACATAGCTTTTTGTTTAAAATAACTACAAATTTAGAGTCCATTTCACAAGCCTCATCCTGGTTAGACAGTCATGATTGGCCTGGCCTTATAGATGTCTGGGATTAGTGGTCCCTGCCTAAGACCTTATTGGGAAGCCCACGTCATCACCTATCCCAGTGCAGAACCACAGAGAATCTTGGCTCTGTGGTCTGAGTCTGACAAAGTCTTAACTCAGTCCCCCATCTGCCCTTGAGATGAACTCCTCATAACTCATTAGTATGCTCATTCATAGCCTGGAAACACTGCTTACTACTCTGTTAGTCAGTCCCCTTAGGACCCAAGTCACAGCTTGTTCACATCAACCATACTTACCCTTAACCCGGGCCTTGTTTGCCCCCCATGAACTAGGAGCATGCTACAGGCAGCCAGATAGACCAGCTGATAGAAACAGGGAAGGCATAAATTAACTGTTATCTTTTCTGGACTTTCAGAAGAGAGAAACAATAGAGTAAGCATGATGCAGTATAAGAGACAATGGCCATTATTAGAAAAAAAACATGGAAATGGTACTAATTTCATTATTAATTTGTGTGTATATAATTTTAAAATATTGTTGTGTGTTTATAGTTTTAAAAATTATATAGGAAAGGTGAAGCATTTGTAGTCATAGTGTTTCTGAAAATAGTAACATGCAAGACACAGTTTGTAAAGTCTCCATGGGAAGATGACAACTGATAAGTCTGCAGCTGCCAACAATTACATCAGCAGTTGGCAAGTGGTTCCTTGTGGAGACTTTATCTGGACCCTCACTTTGGGGATGCACACTTTATCCTCGCTGAAGTATATTCTTGGATTGTACACATACTGAATCTCAAGGGATCAAACTAAAGTATCTATAAGGCTGGCACTTCAGATGTAACTTAGTGGACTCTAGTCCAGAGTCTCACTTGTTGTGAAGATGATGTTGAGTCAGCGCTATGGATCTCATCTGAATGCACAGCTTGGGGACGTTCTGCCTATAAGCTCAGAAAATGTGCCTTATTTATACAGTAGAATATTGTTTACCCATAAAAATGAATGAAATATTGACACTACCGTGTGGATGAACCTTGAAAACATTGTGTTGAGTCAGTAAACCAGACACACACACACAAAAGAAACAACTAAATATTTTAAGACTCCATTCCATTTGTATGAACTCTCCAGAACAGGCAAGTCCATAGAAATAGAAAGTAGATTCCTGGATGCCGGGGGCTGGAAGAGGATTGGAAAATAACTGGTTAGTGAATACTAGGTTTCTTTCAGGGATGATGAAAATATTGTACAACTTAGAGGTAATGGTTACATAACATTGTGAGTATGTTAAATGCCACCAAATTGTATACTTTTATTATTTCTTATTTAGAATACAAAGTGATGGATTTCATTATGATCTTTTCATACATATATATCATTTTACTTTGTTCTTATTTGGCCCCCATTGCCCCCCCACAAGCTCTTCTTGCCAGTCCTCTTCCTCTTTCAAAAAGTACCTACTTCTGCTTTCATGTTACATGTATTCCACTACCCTTCCTTTTTTTCCTTCCCCTCCCTTTAGGCCTTCTCTTCTCTCCTAGTCCCTTTTCTGTTTCACATCCTACACACACGCACACACACACACACACACACACACTCCACATATGAAAAAAAGTATGATATTTATGTAAGTCAGCCTTATTTTACTTTATGCAATGATCTTTGGTCCTATCCATTTTCTTGCCAGTGTTATAATTCCATTCTTTTTTATACCTGAATAAAATACCATGTTTGGGCTGGAGAATGGCTCAGCCCTTAAAGGCTAGGCTCACAGCCAAAAATTTAAGAGTTCGATAAAATATCATATTTATGGGTACCACATTTTGTTTATCCATTCACCTGTTGGTAGATTTATTGCTAGGCTAGTTACATAGCTTGGCTACTAAGAATAGTGCAATAGTAAAGACAGGAATGAAACATATCTGTGGTATGTTGACTTAGACCCTTCAGGATATATTCTAGAGTGTTTTAGCTGAGTCATGTGGTAATTCTATTTAGTGTTTGTGGTACCTGCATTCTGATTTCCATAGTGGCTGCACCAGTTTACATTTCTTCCAGTCTTATATAAGGGTTCTTCTTTCTCAACATCTTCACCAACATTTATTGTCAGTTATCTTTTTGATGACAGCCTTTTTGACTGGTATGCAACAGATTCTCAATTACCTGTGTGTGTGTGTGTGTGTGTGTGTGTGTGTGTGTGTGTGTGTGTGTGTGTGTGTGTGTGTGTGTATACACACATAGAGAGGGAGAGTGGTACAAACATTTAGAGCAGGAGTTTGAAGTAGAAACCATGGAGGAATGATAGTTAACTGACTTGTTCCCATGTACAGCTACATTTCTTTACACAGTCCAGGCTTACCTGCCTATGGTACAGTGGGCTGAGCCCCACTGCATCAATAGCAATCAAGAAAATTCCCCAGATACTCACAGGTCAGACTGATGGGAGCAGTTCTTCAGTTGAGATTCCTTCTTCCCAGGAGATTCAAGTTGACAACCAAGATAAGCGGTCACAAGGATCTTGGTCCTTTTTTGGTTTTGTTTTGATTTGGTTTGGTTTTTAATGGGAATCAGAAAATGTACATATATTCATAAGACTACAGTTCACAAAGATATGTCCTCTTCCAGATCCTTGTCACTGTAGCCTCCAATGAATAGGACAGTCTTTTCAGGGGTGGGGACAACAGTACTTCACATCCTTTATCTGTTGTAGAACTTTCACCCAGGTTTCTTGGGAATAGAGTGCTTCTCTTTAACTATCACACTTCCCAGAAACTCTGGTTTCTTGTTACTAGAACACTTATCAGATCACATTAAAGAAACAAGGCTTTACTGAATTTTCTGTCTCTAAGATACCAGGACCTTGCACGATATATTATTAGCCTATAGCATATTGTGTGGGTCATTTCTGCTGAGGTTATCAAAGTAATAATTGCTCCTGTTTCTTTCCAGTTTTAATCTGATGATAAACAGACTTATATATTCCCCCAGTATTTTCTAAACCTCTGTTTTCTTTTAACTCTGGGTCCAGAGAAGGATTTTAAAATTAAAATGGATATGGTGGTACAGGAATGTGATACAAGCATTTAGAAAGCTGAGGCAAGAAGACAGTGAGTTTGAGGCCAGACTGGGGTACATAATGAATCCCTGACTTAAGCAAAAACAAATCACCTTCTGAGAAGCCATCTAGCCACTGAGATGATACCCTTCCCCACTGGCCTCTACTGCATTTGCTTTTGATATTGTGGAATAGTGGTTCTCGGATGCTAATTTCCATGGCATTTGTTCACACCATGCCATATCATTTCTGGTGTCCTACAGTGATTATAGAAGGCTCACAAGGTATGTGTCGGGTTCTCTAGCAGGGGAGAAAGCCATTTGTTAGGGTCTGGATGTGGGGCACACTAAAAGTAAACTTCACCCAATCCAGAATGTCAGTGGTATCCAAAAGCTCTAGTTTCTTTTCAGCATCTGTCAGAATTGGACACTGAGAAGCTACTGCTGATAACCATAGGAAAGCCAAACTCCTCAGCAATGCTGATAGCCCTTCGAGCTTTGTAGAGGATGTACCCAAAGTTAACCTAGCCTTCTGTTCTAGGACAGGCAGTGTCTTAGTCAGTGTTTGGTCATGGCAACTCTAATAAAGGAAAGCATTTAATTAGGGCTTACAATTTCAGAGGTTTAGTCCATTGTCATCATTATAGTGGGAAAAGTGGTGGCATACAGGTAGACATGGTAGAGAAGAGTTCTACATCTGGATCCACAGGCAACAGGGAGAGAGAGACACTGAGCTGGCTTGGGCCTTTGAAACCTAAAAGCCCATGCCCAGGGACATACTTCCTCCAATAAGGCCACACCTTCTCCAACAAGACTATACTTCCTAATCCCTCCCAAGTAGTGCCACTCCCTGATGACTAAACATTCAAATATCTGAACCTATGGGCCTTTCTTACTCAAACCACCACAGGCATGGACCCATGGGGACTTGTCAAGCATAGTGATGGTTGAGTGCTTGGGTCCTTGGCCAAGGTTGGGGTGTGACTGGAGCTGATGCTGACTGAGAATGGGAAGAATCTCTAGATAAATAAACAGTAATGAATTAGCCTACATCCAAGGGAACTCCAAGCAGAATATAAACAGAGTACATAATTAATTCCTGGATGTAATAATGTAAGGGGATATTATGAAAATGTTAAACAATTGCATTAGCTGTTCCAAAAAGAATTCACTGTCCTGGTGGAATAAAAAAAGTTAATCAGCTGACTATATTTCTAGTAAGTATAGAATTTGGAGTAGAAAATGCCCAAGAATTTGATTCTTTTGTGTGCATGCATAAAAGCATATGATGTACAGTTCCTGTGTCCTGTAACTATTTCTCAGAGTGAGCTGGGGTCCCCATCTGCTTGATAGCTTGGTGAGTTGTCTGTGGGAGCCATATCCAGTTCTGCAAAGATATGGTATCTTCTCAAAGCAGGGTGGCTCTGATGCATAAGGTCAGAGGTAAGGGTAAAAATGAGACTCGTGAGGATTTGATTGGGGAACTGGAGAAGGGGGTCAGACCTGCAAGCAGGTCTTACATCTTTCCTTTCCTTGGCTCCTGAATAGGCATCAGTCGTCACTCTCTCTTCTCCCCACCTGACTGTCCAGAAGGCCTCTGATGCCCAGAAAGGCAGGTGGCAGTTTATGGACTTAGGACTTTCCTTCTGGCAATGTCTCTTGTGTATGTGTTTTCTGGTCATTCATGTGACAGCTTTCCAATTTCCCCCCTTTCCCTTTTCCTCCAGCTTATCACAGTTCAGTGAAGAGAACATGATGGACCCCTACAACCTTGCCATCTGCTTCGGGCCCTCACTGATGTCAGTGCCAGAGGGCCACGACCAGGTGTCCTGTCAAGCCCACGTGAATGAGCTGATTAAAACCATCATCATCCAACATGAGAACATTTTCCCCAGTCCCAGGGAGCTGGAGGGTCCCATCTACAGCAGAGGAGGAAGCATGGAGGATTACTGGTAGGGGCCAGGGAGGGGAGGAAGGGAAGGAGTACCTGATAATAACTGCTATAAGAGCCAGATGGTCAAGCAAAACCCAAAGGGAAACAGCCTGGTCCTCCCACTCCACTTACAGGTTCTGCAGGTGGCAGGCTCTGGCCCTTCTCCCACCTCAGACCCCCCTACAGAATAAGTGTTGCTTCACTGCCTCCCGTGTTTTTATGAGTGTTGTGTAGCTAGGGACCATCCCAAAAGATAATGACAACACAAAGGCAAGGAGCTTTTACAAGGTAGTATTTAGACTTGCTGTTCATCAGGCAACGGTGCCCAAACTGTATTGGGATGGAAACAGAGCTGGGCCCCCCGGGAATCCTTTTCTTAGGAGGTAGAGTCTGCGTGTGAGGCAAAATCTCCTGACTGAGTTTGTAAGATGGCACACTAGAATAATTTCAGAAGTTTGTGACAAGAAAAAGGTATAAACTTATTTGGGGTAGGGTAGGCACAGTTCTACCCGCCCCCCACCCCCACCCCCGTGGGAAAGTGTGAGATTATATAGACATGGTTTTTCATGACTTAGCCTGAGCACAGAATTCTAAAAGGAACCTTTGGGTACATTTCTGTTAACTACCTCTTTTAGATGAATGAATCATTTCCAAAAAAGAAAAAGAAATACTACTTCCCTTTTGCAGATAAATTTCTTGCAACCCAGAGAAACCAGTGCAGTGTTTCAGCCCACCCCAGTAATTGGGGAATCAACCCTGATCACCTATCATCTAGGACAAGGCTCTATCCAGTACCCTACACAGATACTGTAATAACACTTTACAGAGCCATTTTTCACTAACTGCAAAGGCAACAGCCTTTCTCTTAAACCCTGGTGTCCCATACCTCCTCCTTTCTTTCCTAAATGGTTTTTCAATAGAAGATGAAAACATAAGCCAGCCCAAATCAAATTCTACCTAAATATACTATCTAAAACCAGTCCTTCCAGCCCCATTGCTACCAAACACAGTTGGAGAGGACAAGGCATATGCTTACTTAATTAGCAGCCAGTTGGTCCACGATTCTCCATAACCCCTTCAGAGCCGCTGCCCAAGGAATGAATAAAATAACATTTGTGCCTCTGTGAACTTCCTATGGCAGTGGCATCCTTGGATCCACTCTCCTGGACTTCTGATCCTAGGTCTGCATCTGAGCAGGCACCTCAAGTGGCTAGCTTAGAAACAAAGATTTCTGTCACTGACAGTGGTTTGTGGTGACTAGGGCTGTTGACCATTAGGTGAGCTCCAAGGATATATTCTCTTGCACATTACTCCCCTTTGCATGAGTAGTTAAGAGCTGTGGAATGGTCGGTCCTTCGGTTCTTGCCTTTACCTGTAAAGTTGACCTTTGCTTCTTAAATATCAAATCCTTGCAGCTTCTGGATGAATAAGGGGGCATAGTGCTCCCAGCTCCCAGCTCCCAGCTCCCTGATCCCAGTCCTCTAGTTTTCCTTCTAGTTTTCTCCCAGGTGTTTTCCTCGACCCTTACCCCATGTTGTATATGTGGTACTTACTGGAATATCATATTTGCAAACACCGCACAGGTAATCAGTGAACATTTGTGTCACTGTTCCAGGCCTTGGGCAATTGTCCATGACCTTGCTCCTGACCTCTCTTAATTCAGAAGAAAGAGATACTATCACAGTGAACTAGTATCAGGCATCTGTTCTGACAGGATATGCCCTCAGCTGCAGCCACTAACAGCACCTCCTGTGCATATTCATTATGTTCCCATCCTCCTATATTTCTCTCCCTGTCTCTGTCCTCCCCTCCTTCCTCTCTCCTGCTCTGTTTGTTTCTCTGTCTTCTCTCCCCTCTCTCTCTGCCTTTCTTTTCTCCTCTGTTGTTCCTGTCCCCAGATGCTAGTCGTCTCCCCCACTTCTCCCTCCCTTTCCCTTTCCCCTAATTAAAAAAAAAAACCTCCATGTGAGCTCTGTTGAATGGTGGCTCTCTCGAGCCACCTTTTTAAAATTACAACAGAACTGAGGCACTCCAAATCCAGGAGAGTGGCCAAGAGACCAGAACCATCAGGGAGAAGAGGCTCCAGAATGCTCTGCACAGATGTGGGAAAGTACATTCTGACTACCTACTAGTCTCCAAACTGGATTCTGGTTGCATGGGACTGCTGCTGAGACCTTGGACCTCAGATTTTGATAGGGTTAGACATGTTGTCAGGGCCAGAGACGTGGGAGGGGAAAAACATGGGATTTTAGGACTACATGGAACCTCAAAAGATATCATTCTTTTACCATGGTGCAGATTTCAAAGTGGAAAGCACCAGATCCTATGGGACCAGAATGAAATGTAGACTCTCCAACCCAAGACAGATCTTGTGGCTCAGAAAAGCTCAAGTGGGATAATATATGAATTTTAGCAAGTCCTCCAGGGCTCTCTGCAGTGTGAGAACTGGTGCCCTGGTGCCTTGTGGATGCACAGGAATGAACCTTCATGCTGGGGAAAGGGTTATCTTTGTCCTATGCACCACTGATGCATTTCCAGAATGCCACCAAACTCATGGGATGGTTTTTAGGCCCAGGCACAGTAAGGAATTGTACCCACATTTTTTTTTTACAAAGAAGAATCCCTATTGCTGTTCTACCAGAGTATTCTCTGAATCTTAGGAGCCCTCCTAGGACTGGTTTTACCTGGTCTCTAAGGAGCTTCCTAGAAGAAAGGCTTGTGTACTGGGCAGGGAGAGGTTCCATGGCAAGTGGTATGGCTGTTCATAGACCTGCCTGGAACGGTTTGCTTGTTGGTGCCTAATGCTGGAGGAGAAAACTTCAGACAGGGTGAGAGGGTTTTTTGTTTTTCTGCTCTTCAAGAACATCCATCTCCTCCCTGAGCCAGAAGATAAAACAAGAAATGCTTCCTTAGTAACTTGTAGCCATTCTCAATTCTTTGCTTTGGATGATTTAAGAGAAGATAAATTTTTTAAGAACTTGACTGAGCTTTCATCCTCAGGCCTCTAGTAAAAACCTAATCTACAACAGATCCTTTTACCTTTGCTCTTGATTTCCATTCAGCCTACTCACTTCCTACTTTCTCATCAGTGCACAGGCTAATAAGTCACACTGCACCCTAGGGCATCAAGTGAAAGGAGGCTGGAAAGGAGGTAACACTAAGTGCCCTCATGCTAAAACCTTCACTAAATTGCACCATTGACTTCTCACACGACTATCTGTGAAAAAAACAGTAACAACAAAACAGCTATCCAGCATTAGAGCCCGTTTTCAGGTCTGGATGTTCCTGATACAACCCGGACTTCCCTTCTGCCTGCTCCTTCCTTAAGAACCAAGAGTGAATTCATGAAGAGAACCGACCTGAGTAGTTGAGTTGTTCTGTGTTTTCCAGAGGGTTTATTTGTAACTTCAAAGGCCTTCCCTTTCTCTGAAGGCCGTTTAAATCCTGAGTAGTGACAAGTGGTTTGGGGAGCAGAACCTCCAGAGATTCTTCATTCTTGGCTGTTGATGGCTGTGTACTTGAGAGTAGCAAGCCCACAGTTGATGTGAGGCCTCTGTTCCAAGGGAGCTGTGTCAAAGGGAAGAACACTACTTTGGGAGCACATACTGATGTCCCAGTTATTACTCTTCTGTTGCAGTGACAGCACTCATGGAGAGACTACCTCTGCTGAAGACTGTGCCCAGGATGTGACAGCAGAGCACCACACGAGTGATGACGGTATGCTGGGGGCTGTTGGTAAAGCAGAAATGCTTCCATGTGTGTGTTGTGCATTCGATAAACTCTGCTGTCCAGAGGGCCCTAGGGAGAAAAGGGGAGTTTCTTATCCCTCCTTTCCTTGGAGGGATATTCTTACATAAGAGATTAAACCAGAGGTGAGTAACTAGACCTTTTGTAGTCCTTCTGCTTCCTTGCCCCACCTCTTAGCTCCCTATCTAGCCTGAACCCAGTAGATATATGCCTCTACTGCTGCCAGGTTACTGGAAACCAAAGCAAAGGAAAGCTCATTTTAAAAACATCAAGCCTGGGGAATAGAAATGCTAGGTGCCAAGAACTCAACAGAAGCCAAGTGAGGGGAGTGGGAATGAGGACACAGGAACCACACGCTTGCATGCCTGCCAACTGGAAAAATTGACCCTTGCACAGTACGGATTTGTGTGCTGAACAGCCTGTGAGTGTGCATCCAGGGGTGGAATGCTCAGCTGTCATCCTCAAACCCCTCTAGAGTGCCCATGATTTATTAGAGTCTGTCCCAGCCAGCACATTTCCCTTGCTTCCAACCATTCCACACCTCCATTTCTGGATCACTTGGTCTCTGGAAGTCTCAGCGGTTGACAAGGGGCCTCAGAATTTTATGGGCAGAAGAATGAAATGGCACATTCTACGGAGATTTGCCCACCCCCTCCCCACGCCTTGCTAGAAATCCTGCAGTCTGGAGACAGCTTCTGAAGGGGGAGATAGGACTTCTTGTTTAGATCCTGGTGTTGGAAGGAATGGTATGATCTTTACGAGAGAAGTAGGTATTAGTAGAGAATTCAGTATGCAGAGCTGCCTTGTTCTCATACTGTTAGAGGCTTTATCTCTAGGGAGATAGATGGGGCAGCTGAGAAAACAAGGTCAGCCAGTCAAGTGATGTGCCTGAGGCTGTAGAGAACTGAGACTGGACTACTAAGACAAGGGTTCTGCAGTGGAATCTTCAGCCGGCCCATTTAGAAGCAGACTTTCCATCCAGAACTTTATGGGCATGGGCTTCTTTTTAATCAGCCTTCCTCCCTGCAGTGGTATTTATGATCTAATGGTTCCATGTCTTGGAAAGTCTTCTATTTACTATCCAGTCTCTCCGGCAGCCTAGAACAGATAAGTGATGACAGCAATGACTAAATGTACGTATATCACAGTGCTGGGCTAAGTTTTTCACAGATTGTAATTGACTTCTTATAAGAACTTCATGAAAAAGAGCACTATTCCTATCGCCTCATTTTATAGATAAGGAAAGAAGAGCCCACACAGAAATAAAAACATATTGCACTTAGAAGCCCCTTGTAACTTTTCAGATTATTTTCATATGCATTTCCATATATTTGTTATAAACCACTTTCTATGTTTTACATTCTACTGAAACGAATGAATAACACAAATAAATTACTTAAAATATGGCATGATTCAAGTGTTTGATGGCTGATAGATTTACTATATGATCAGAAAAGAAATGATGCTCAAAAATACAGTAGGATAAGCTGGATATAGAGTTCAGTGATAGAGCCTTGCCTTTGAACATCCATATATGAAGCCCTGAGCTCAATTCACGGTACTGCCTAAAAGAAATGAAGAATGCAGACTGGCACATTAGAAGATAGATGGAATCAGCACAGAGAGCTGTGGAGTCAACACAGGTTTATCAGGGAAGCAGTGCTCCGTGCCTGAGCCCAGGCAGAAGAGAGAGGGCGCCAGGCTATTAGGTCTTTATAGATCCTGTGGCTAATTTTTTACACTGAGTTACCCTCGCACCACTCTAAGTCCATGCTTTTCACCCAGTTTCCTGAATCTGTAGATTCCAGAAACACGTGTTTCGTCCTTCTCTGCCTTTCCCAGAATGTGAGCCCATTGAGGCCATCGCCAAGTTTGACTACGTAGGCAGGACAGCCAGGGAGCTGTCTTTCAAGAAGGGAGCATCCCTGCTGCTCTACCAGCGAGCTTCTGACGATTGGTGGGAAGGCCGGCACAATGGCATAGACGGACTCATCCCCCATCAGTACATCGTCGTCCAGGACACGTAAGTGGGATCTTGGCACCTTTGAGGGTGGTCTCTGCTACACTGTGGTAGTGAAACTTCAATTCTGGAACAGTCACAGCATGAGAGAGACTGATTCCCTAAGAATGAACACTCCATGGAGAACACCTACCCCTGCAACTCAGTCTCCCCACTTTCCCTTCTCCCTTTAAATCACCACCTAATGCATTTGTTTTAGAAATATGCCAACCACCCTAATGAGCGGTAATGTGGACTTTTTAATTTGACTATACTTATTTCCTTTCTGGAAAGATCAGGGTGAGAAAACATTTTTGCTTCTCTGGTTTTGGTTTGTTTTTTGTTCTTTTTGTTTTTTGTTTTTGGTTTTTGGTTTGGTTTGGTTTGGTTTTGGTTTTTAAATTTTGGTTTTTTGAGACAGGATTTCTCTGTGTAGAGCCAGCTGTCCTGGAACTCACTCTGTAGACCAGGCTGGCCTCAAACTCACGGAGATCCGCCTGCCTCTGCCTCCTGAGTGCTGGGATTAAAGGTGTGCGCCACCACTGCCCGGCCTTCTCTGTCTTCTGTGTAATGTGCACTTTTGTTTTTTGAGATAGGGTCTCTGTCTTAGTTAGGGTTATTATTGCTGTGATTAAACACTATGACCAAAGCAACTTGGGAAATGGGGGGTTATTTGGCTTATACTTCCATCACTAAAGAATTCAGGACAGGAACTCAAACAGGATTGGAACCTGGAGGCAGGAGCTGATGCAGAGGCCATGGAGGAGTGCTGCTTACTGGCTTGCTCAGCCTTTTTTTATAGAATACAAGACCAACATCGCAGGGATAGCACCACCCACAATGATCTGGGGCCTCACCCATCAGTCACTAATTAAGAAAATGCCCTCCAATAAGGATCTTATGGATGCATTGTCTCAGTTGAGGTTTCCTCCTTCCAGGTTACTCCAGCTTGTGACAAGTTGACATAAGACTAGCCAGTACGGTCTCACTCTGTGACTTAGGCTGCCTTGAGCTCAGTGTATATAACTCGTAGCAGTCCTCCTGCCTTAGCCTCCCCTGTGCTAAGATAACAGACATGAACCACAAACATGGCTTCTCTTTTTACACAACTATCTATACCTCAGCCTGCTGAGCCATTGATAGTGCTTTCCGCCTGCAAATGAAAATTAACAGGTTACTTTTTAGAAGGTCTGGCTTAAGAAGCATTGTAAAAGAAGAAAAGGAGGGGAAAGGATGTCGGAGAGCAGGGGAAACCAGAGTTGGCTCTAGAGATCTCATCGGCTAGGCTGTTCGTTAGTTCCTGCCGTTTGAAGCAATGTCTCCCAGGCAGGAAGTAGTGAGCCTTGTGGCCTACCCAAACCTGCCTCACTGACCCTTTGCCCTCACACACTTCTCAAGGATAAAAGCATTGTCACTGTTTTTAGTCCTTCCCTTACTATTATTTTTTTAAAGGTTGGTATCCTGAATGGGTCTGCACCCTCCCAGCCTCTCCTGGGCTCCTTCTTTGGGGAAATCCTTCTTGTGTTGATAACATCGCCAACCTGATGGTGATCTGTTCGTGGACAGGACCCTCCCAAATTTAGTATTATGATTTCACTACAGGATGGAGAGAAGATGAACTTTGGGGGAAGAGGGGCTTTCTTTGTCATCAGTAGCTAGAGGGGCCAAGAGAGCAGTAGAGAGACCTGGGACCATCTTGGACGCGCTGAGTGAGGCTAGATGTGCTGTGACAATGGCCATGTGTCCACACCCTGCCTCAACACTGGTATCTCCAGAGCCACTACAGAGCCACTACAGAGCTACCTGTCCTTACCAGCAGTGCTCAGAACTGCGGATAAACCACCACCTGGACTTCCACCTCCTTCTCCAGGAGGTGGTCCCATCATGGCACCCCATGAAAGCAGCACTGGGGTCAAAGGCAGAAGCCTTGAAATCAGGTGTTCCCTCGCCAAGCTTTCCTGAGGAGCTAAGGATCAAATAGAAGTCAGCAGATTATTTATTCTTATTTACATGACCCTCCAAAGGCCCTCAGATTTCCTTGCCTCTGTTCACAAAATTAGCCCCACCAGTGGTTGCTGCTGCCTTCAAGCTGTGTAGGGTCGTGTGTATGTTCAGGTGGGCCATCTTGCTGATTTAACACTGCTTTTTGTATTGTTTTTTTCCTTCTCCCTGCCTGCCTGTCCCTTCTGCCCCAGCGAGGACGGTGTCGTGGAGAGGTCCAGCCCCAAGTCTGAGATTGAGGTCATGTCTGAGCCACCTGAAGAAAAGGTGACAGCCAGAACAGGGGCCAGCTGTCCCAGTGGGGGTCATGTAGCTGATATTTATCTTGCAAACATCAACAAGTAAGCTCTGCTTTTCATTTTCTGCTCCCCTAAATGACTCACTCACTCCGCCTCACCCCCTGCCTAACCCCACCCCGCTCCTGTGCTGTATGCAGGGCTCCTAGCTCCCCCAACCTAACAGTCTCCATGTGTCGTTTGCTGCTGCAAGGTGGATGGCAGGGCTTACATGGGTCTCTAAGGGCAGGCCCTACCCTCCAACTGTCTGTTATCATCCTGTGGTACTCTGTGTGTTCCACGGTGTCTGTCTGCCCAGACTTCCTGGCAGTCTTAGCCAAACCTTCATCAAAGCTTTGGTCACCTTATGCAACTTGGTTTTGTGCTATTTCTTATCAGTGCCTTCACTTTTCCAATTCTTGCTCAAATAGTATTTGATAGCTTCTTTGACCCTTGTCTGTCTGAAGATTTCAGAGTTTCGTATGTCTTCACCAGGCTTCTGTCCACCAGGTGGGCTTACTTAGATGCCATGTGTCTGGTTCTCCCTATCCTACATTCATGGCCATGGAAAAGAGAAGAGCACTGAGCCCAAGGGAAGCTTTCTCCTGAGCGTGACCCTTCGCTCCCTTTCACACTAGCAGAAATCACCTTTCATTTTTTTCTTGTTGCTTTCGCACTGTGTATTTATTATCCTCCCCTAGCAGTCCTTTGCAGATGCCCACTCCTGTCCAGCAGGCTTACTCTCACCCCAGCTTTCATTGTGGCCATTAGCAGTATTCCGAGGTTCTAACTCCATCCACACCTGCTGGCTATCTAGAGGGATTCCTCGTTCGCCCGCCCATGAGCTGCTGCCTCCCCCAGAGGCACTCAGGCTATCGGAGAACTAATCTCATCTCAAGGGGCCAGACACCAAGTCCTACAGACCTCTTTCTGCCAGACCCTGAACTGTGGCCCAGTGCCAGGAGGATGACAAGCCCCGGGGCTCTCCTGGTGAACATGGATTGGAGATGACGTACAGTTTGTATTCCTTCCGACCTTGGAGGGGTGAAATGATTTGCACTTTGAAACCCTGTTAACCATAGCCTCTGGACACTGAGACTGGAAGGAGAATAAAAGATGCTTACTGTTTTTAAACTGCATGAGGTTGCCAGATCTCTTGGCTTTTTTCCAACCAGACAATAGAGGGGGTTGGGGGACATGGATCTTTTCTATCTCTTTCACACTCAAGTTCATCAAGTTTATTCTGCTCACTTATGTAGTATAGTCATAACTTAATTCAGACCAGTAAACAAGTTGAGGATTTTATACTTCCCTCCGGTCTGCTAAGAGGGCAAGCTAATAGAAGGTAGCTTCCAGCTAATCACATTTTTTCATTATTTACAAGTCTGTGTTAATTATGAGTCTGCAATCACAAGGCCATGAGCTTATTAAGCCAGAAACCAAGACTGGATAGTGGAGGGGAAGCTAGATATTTATTTAGGCACTTTGTTTTTGTTTTTTATGGCGTTGGGGGTAGAACTCAACAAGTCACATATACAAATGGAGCATTCTACTTCCGAGCTACAGCTTCAGCCCTGGGTATTAAATTTTAAGTCAACATGTATTTGATACCATTCATACAAAGGAATTACAGAGAACAAAAGCTAGAATAGTTAAAAGATAAACATCTGGTAGAAAGTCAGGGTTGTTCCCTTGATCTCTTTGCTTGGTGGTATTAAGATTCTTACGATGAATTTCCTGGGGACAGACCATAACCAAACCATGTCAACATGGTCTACTCAAGCTTTCCCGGGCACCAGCCAATCAGTGCATGAGTGACAGCCCTAACATGCCTGGCTCTTAGGAGTGAGTCTGACTTCCCGCCTGCCTCCAGAACAGTGCTCCCATGAAACTTGAGTTTCCTGATTGCCTTGGAGAACTCTTTCCTCCTGGGCCCTCTCATTTGATTAACTCCTCCTCAGCCTCCAAGACTTACCTATTTGGGTAAACCTTCCTTACACCCTGAGTTCCTTGGGCTGAAAACAATGCCCTCATTCTGCATTCCAAAATGGCTTGAGTTGCTGGTACTTGGTGCTAAGCCTGGTTCCTCCTCCAGGCTGAGCTCCTTGTAAATCAGCCTCTCTGTCTTCCTTGTCTTTATGCCCCAGATAGAGCCTGGGATGACACTACCACAGTCCCCTAAGTCTGCCTTCTCAGCAGTTCTGATCTGTGAGTCAGCCATCCTTGAGAGGAAAAGGGAAATCAGCAGCGTTCTTAGGTGTGGCATTTAGATTTAATTCCACATCCTATATTAACCATCTGCTTTGTGCCAAGCACCAGTGCTAGCTGTTCAGAGCTCACAGTCTGGCAAGGCACAAGACCATATGGAAGGTAACTGCAAAGCAGTTGTATGGAGGCACTGGAGAAACCTGGAAGGGAGGAATCTCTTCGGTCTGCAGTTGGAGGTACTAATGTCATGGAAAACTTGACAAAGGAGGGCTCATTTCAGCAGGGTCTTCCTAGACTAAAGAGCATCCTTTTTCTGGTTGAGAATGGCTGCCTTACAACGCTAGACCTGCCTAGCAGCCACATTCATAGAGAGGCTGCTGGGCCACATCCTACCAGACCCAGAAAGATAAAGCAGACCGAAGCTGTAAGCAGCACAAGAAATGACTTAGGCATTATCTATGCTTAAGAGATGGCCCCCAATCTGCAGTCCTACCATTACCATCCCGATCCCCAGCTCATCCCATCTTCCTCAGTAGAGTCGAGATCAGAGCTACACAGCTGCTATCTGAACTAGCAGCTTGATGGCATCTTAGATGAGGTCCTTTAAAGTCTGGTTCAGAAAAATAAAATTATTCAGCATCAGGCAATAACCCATATGGCTAGGATCCCACTACATCACATCATTTGAGAGCCTTTTGTGGTATGAAATGAATTGGCCCAGTGCTGGGTGACATAGGAGTTGTGTAGATGCCCTTTCTACCCTAAGATCAGGCACACAGTGAACCCTCTGTCTGTGCCACTGCAGTTCCTTGAAAAATCTCTTCCATGTCTATGAACAAGAAATAGCCTCTTGCCAGAGCCCAGATGATGACGGACTTGCTGTAGTATAGTTGAGCAAACTGAAATGTGGAAAAGTTAACTCCTATTGCTAGAAGTTCTCCCCCTCCTTGGTGATGGTGAGACTTTCCTCCTTGGTGATGGCGAGACTTTGTCACCTGGGGCTTGGGTTTCTGTTCATGCAGGCAATGGAGTGGGTCTTTTCATGAATCTTTCTCCCATTAGAAACTTTCTCTTGAACAGGCAATTTTTTTTCTGACAGCATCTTACATGGTTAGAACTCAAAGCTCACAACCACCAAGTAAGTATCCATTTCACCTCTGCCCAGGTTGGGGGTTGGAGGGAACAGAACCATAGAGAAAACAAGAGAAAGAAAAACTGAAGAGATAGAGTATTCTGTGTGACTTTCTTTAGATGTCCCAGGTGCCAGCCTCTGCCCCCTGTCACAATCCCAGCTCATTGGACCCAGGGCTTCCTGATCAGATGCCGTTTCTGTTTGTTGAAGGCAAAGGAAGCGTCCAGAATCTGGGAGCATCAGAAAAACATTTCGGAGTGACAGCCATGGGCTGGGCAGTTCTCTGACTGACTCCTCCTCCCCGGGGGTGGGGGCTAGCTGCCGTCCATCCTCTCAGCCCATCATGAGCCAGAATCTCCCCAAGGAAGGGCCTGATAAGTGTTCCATCAGCGGCCATGGGAGCCTCAACTCTATCAGCCGCCACTCATCCCTGAAGAACAGGCTGGACAGTCCACAGATCCGGAAGACTGCCACTGCGGGAAGGTCAAAAAGCTTCAATAACCATCGGCCCGTGGACCCTGAAGTCATTGCACAGGTAACTGAGGGGCCCTGGACAATAAGTAGTAAGTCTACACTCATCAGTTCCACTCAGAGCAGCCCCGGCTAATCAACAGAACTTAAAAGAGATCCCTGTACGTTCTATAGAGGATGCAGCAAGTATCATACATGTGAATCTGCCAAGACAGCTTACTGAGCAATCTGCCTACCCTTGTCTCCCCAGCAAAACCTGAAGGTAGAGTTAATAGAATTCTACCTTCTTATTTGTATTCTGGCTGTTTCCAAGGCTGTTAACTTTTAAAGCCAACAGCTAAATATTTTGATAAAAAAAGTCCATTAGTCCAAGTTTCATGTGTTAAGACACTAAGGTAGGGTCTGAGGAGATGGTTCAATACATAAGAGCGCTTGCTATGCGAGCAAGATGAACTGAATTCAAATCCGCAGCACCCACATAAAAGGCCTGTAACCCCAGTGTTGGGGATTAAGGGCAGGCAGAGTCCTAGGACTTGCTAGCCAGTCAGCCAGCCTAGCCAAAAGAACAAACTTCAAGTTCAGTGAGAGTCTCTGCCCCCAAAACAATAAGATAGAGAGTGATAGAGACAGATACCTGACATCTTCCTCTGGCCTCTGCACATAGAACACACACATGAGAAACTAGATGGATAGATAAGTAGATATGTAGGTAGGTAGGCAGGCAGACAGATGATAGAAACACAATAGTAGACTTTAGTGAAGCTAAGACTCCGTTCCTGACACTCCATTTCATAAAGCTGATCTCTGATACTTGTAGATAGCTAATTAGTCCACCATCGGATTCTGTCTTCAAAACCCCAAAGTATTCTTGTTGCTTGAAGCTCAGGTACTAGAAAGTTTCCAACCCAAAGTTGCAGGTACCAATGCAGATGAATCCCAGATTGCAGGACCTTGCTTTCCATCAGCACCACATTGATGATTCTGTTTTCCATGAAATATTAGAAACCCAACTCGACCTCTAAACATCCAACTACTGGGGCCACTCCAAGCAGTTCTCTCAGACGTCTCTCCCAGCTATATACTTTTCATTAGAACAGGTAGGAACTAAGGGATTGCTTTTGTCCTCTTCCTCACCTCAACTTCTGGGGTGATCAGGAAAGGGCAATAGAGGCTCTGTATGGTCCCCATTGGTTTCGTTGGTGCTCTGCTTAAGGAGGTATACCTGGTACACCCAATATTGAGCCCTGGGCCTATAATGTCTTGCTTTGCTTACCCTCTATCCTGTTTAAGCTCCTGACAGCAATCTGCCTTGCACCATGGGAATCCTCCTTGATCCTCTTTTAGCCAGCCATTAACCAAAGTCTTAGAAACTGTGAACATACTAGTGGCCTTACAGGACAGAGCCAGGAGATAAGAATTCTTCCTGAGCATTCTAAAAGATTTAAGAAGCCCACAGGTGTAGCTCAGCAATGCAAGCTAAGAATGTTTGCCAATTGTGCATAGGCTACTGGGTTCCAGCCCTGGCATTGCAGGAGGGGGCAAGAAAGGCTAATAAATGCCATAGTGATGAATGAAAATGAGTCACTATCATCCATAGCAAGCTTCAGTCACACCATCAGACAGGAAGCCCTAAGTGGGAAACCTGGGGCTTACTTGAAACTTAGAATCTTTGAAAGTATTCTTGATCCCAAAGAGGAGTCCTGTGGTGGCTTTGGGATGCAGTATTAAACACAAGTTTGCCAGGAGGGTATGGAAGCTGAGCACTCTTACTGGATGCTTGCTTACAAAGGTTCTTTGGTTCTGCTTTGAGCCCTTGGACTAGGGTTGCCATTTCTCTAAAGTCTTCAGTATCTACTGGTTTGCAGATGCTAACTTACCTACGTGGGCTTTGGCTCCCCCTTTTGGCTTGGAACACCACTCTTGGGTTCCCTTTCATGGTGCTGGGTAGAAGGAAGCTGTTTCAAGTTGCACACTTGGGTGAGTTGGGAAATTGAAGCATTGTCCTGATAAATCTTCAAGGACTTGGCTCTTGAACCTTCCTTAACTCTCGTGGAGGAAGGAATAACCCCCTTACCCACTGGCTTTGAAGTCAAGAAAATAAAGATCATACTTGATCTCTACTACTTTGTAAAATGTGTTCATTGATGTACACTTTCAAACATACACAGAAATGCAGAGAATTACACAATGAATCCCCGTGTACTCATGACCTTTACCCTCCATTTAATTATATGTCATTTCATCCAGAAATGTTTAAGCACCTGTTACTAAAACCAAGGACTCAAGTTGAAAATACTCAGCTACTCTTTCTTTTTTAATAATATTTTTAGTTGTTAAATTTAATACATTTATTATATATATATATACATATACATATACATATTATAGAACATAGAACATATCTTGCTATATCTTGCTATAATCTTCTAAGTAATAGTTTGAGGACTATCTATGTAATCTTTATATTGAAACAAATAATTTAAGTATCTATATACAATTCAAAGTTTGTTGGCAGATATCCATAAGTTGTCTGCAAATAGTCCATGATTTATACAACACACTTGAGCATTCAAGAATTTTGGTATCTGTATGGGATCCTGGAATCAATCCTCCACAGATATGAAAGGACATCTATCCATCTACTCATGCAATTTTGCAGGTTATACAGACACTGGCTAGTTGGAATAGGGCAACAAGCAGAACTGCTGAAAAATGACCTTGGCATTTCCTACTCAATGTCTTGGATAACGAACCTACTGAGATCAGGAGTCCTTCCACCAAAGCCAGTGAGAAAGGCAGCATTTGAATGAGCTGGGCCATGGTCAACCTACCAGGAGCCCCATCCCCAAAAATGAGTGACTCTTCCTACCTCAGCAACCATCAACTGCCAGTCGCCTCTCCGATAGAGGTGTGGCCCCAGGGGCCCCTCCCCCTTTCTGCTGGAATTTTGGCTGGCTTGATTTTGTGCAGAAAACCACCGCTGGTATGAGTTGATGTGTGCAACTCCTTGTCATGTCCAGAAGTCATCAATCACTCTTTCTAAATTCCTGATGATGAAAATCTCTCTGTCCCCTTTCTCCACATTCTGGACATTCATATGTTCAAGGATTTCGGCCAAATAAAATAAGGCATTTTATAGTTGGTTTCATGGCTTGGCGTATTTGGTTGAAATAGGATCCTTAGGGACATCTGTCTTGGTTTGACTTACTTCTTCCTTTTTCCTGTTTTGCAGGATATTGAAGCAACAATGAACTCTGCCCTGAATGAGCTTCGAGAGCTAGAGCGGCAGAGCAGTGTTAAGCACACCCCTGATGTGGTTCTGGACACCTTGGAACCTCTCAAGACCTCCCCAGTGGTAGCCCCCACATCTGAGCCCTCTAGCCCCCTGCACACTCAGCTCCTCAAGGACCCTGAGCCTGCTTTTCAGCGCAGTGCCAGTACTGCCGGGGACATTGCCTGCGCCTTCCGGCCTGTCAAGTCTGTCAAGATGGCTGCTCCAGTCAAACCACCAGCCACACGGCCCAAGCCAACTGTCTTCCCCAAAACAAATGCCACTAGCCCTGGTGTCAATTCATCAGCTTCCCCACAGTCCACTGACAAGTCTTGTACTGTCTAAGGGTTATAACTTAATTGTTCTAGACAAGGAGACTGACATTATTAAAATCTTCCTATTTAACTAGCTTGGAGACTTCAGTTGAAAATTAGGTTCTAAGTTGTTCTTACAGGAATTAGCCTTCCCATTATTCAAACCTTGAGAATGAAGCCCTTGTTACTGCCTTTCCCTTCATGGTCCTTCCCTCTACTCGTTGCTTCCCTCTGTTGTAATCCAGCCAGCTACAGTACATACTGTTCTTAGGTTAGTCAGAGACAAGTTTCCCATGATCAGGTTGCTATATCTGTCAAGGCAAGACATGGGGACATGGGCCTATGTCTTTGTCCCTTCATACCATAGAGGATACCACCTTGACCAGATGGTTGGCTGCAGCCACTTAGCTCTTGGTGGCATCTTATTTTGAGTACTATTTTAAAAAATCACATATAGTCCAGTTTTCATTTACTATAAGTAATATTCATGTGCATGCACACCCATGCACACACTGAGGTTTTTCTGGTCTCTGGTGTAGCCTTTCCTGGTCATAGACTTCTCTTTGTTGTTGTGACCGTTCACACTGAAGCCACCAGGAGACTCTATTTTCATCGCAACTTTGTTCCTTTTGGACCAGAGAAACCTGGCCTTCAAAATCTCTCTGTCTAGAAATTTAGCAGAATAGGACAGTCCTGTAATCTAATGTGGGGGTAGGGATTGTCGTCTTCCTCTTGCTGTGACTTGGTCACTGGTGTTTGCATTTGTTCTGCTCCGTTCTGTAGAAGAACATCCCGGTCTTAATAAGGAGCTTTTAAAGTTTTTCTGAACTTACAGACTTTTCTTCAGTTCCCGTCTTTGTCTCTTGACCACCATTTTCCATTTCAGATATTTTCCAATATTAGACAATTTTATAGCTAGTTCCTTTTAGAGTAAAAAGTCTTAACATTTTATTATGTTTATGGCAGGTTTGAAAGGGGTAGGAAATGGGTCCTTCTTCCTTCCACCTTTTTTGGTATTCAAAACTTCTTAAATTTATTCTATTAAAAAAAAATAAGTTGCTCTCTGCCAATCCAAAAATTGTTCCCAGATTAAAACTATTTCAAGTTTACCTCTTGGCTTAGTTTTTTATAAGGCTCTCTGGAGATGGACAGGGGCTTGGAAAGCCCTCATTCAATTCTAGAGACCCTGCCTTTTGAGACTGTGTTTGTTTATCCAAATAAGGTCAACTAAGGGAACTTTGACTCCCACATACTCAAAATTATCTCCCCAAAGCCAGAATCTTTAAAAAGTAAAATACTGAATGCTTCATATTGGGCCTGCCATTGGCCTGCTTCAGATGTGCTGCCATGGAATGCTCTAGCCAGCCTACAAGCCTGAGGCTCGAACACTCACTCCTCTGCATCGTGCTTCCCCAGGAGCACCAGAGCTCCGAAGTCATAGTTCAGGTTCATGTGCTTCAATAGCTCAGTGAAGCTCAGGCTCATTCCTCTTCTCTGGTTTTTGGTTTGAAAGCTATGCTTTTATTTAACTTTATTGTTTTTCTATAGTTCAAGAGAGATGGTGGGCTGCCATTCAAGTTGGAAAATCTGAAAGTCCTTAGCTTTGGGCTAGAAGAGATCCTTTTGACCAATATGTGACGTTGGTAGTTGGATCTTTGGAAAGTGGTGGATATTTCTCTCTGTATGAAGGGAATAGGGAGCTTGAAGATGTCACTAATGAGAAGAGTAACTTGCAACACCAGGGAGACTAGAGAGAGAGGCGAGTGAGTCAGATGGCCAGGGACAACCCTCGGCCCTTGGGCTGCCTGATTCTTACTGCTCTTTTTACTGACCTGACATCTTGACCTGGGCTTGTGCTGCTCCTGAGCCAAGGGGGACTTTCAGACCCAAGGATCTGAAATGATCTCCCGCCCTTACATTCCTCTTAATCTAAGTGATAGAAGTTTCCAGCCTGCCCTTTATCCTCTCTCCAGGACATTACCCTCTAAGAAGCTAAAAGCAAAGCTTCTTAAAGAGCATACTGTGGGTCTGTTCTTTTGTTCTTGCCTTCTCTTTCATTCCTGTACATTATTTGTGTTTGTCATCCCCTTGGTCGATGTCCATCTGCTGATTTGCATAATGAACTGGACAGTGTACAAGTGGTTCCCTCCTAACCCCAGCTCTGGGAGCCTCGCTGTCTTCCTTATCTCTGGTGCTTCTGACGCCTGTGAGATGGTCCTGTTAAAAGGAGTAGGAACCAATAGGAGGCAAGTCCTCCTCGGCAGAGCTCACTTCAACTGGAATTGAGGTTGCACACTGTGATTTTACACCCCAAAGCCAAAAGGAGCTGGCCACCCCAGGCCTTAGGCAACTAGCCTTCCTCAGATAGGCTTGCCCGAAACCAGCATGATGCTTCCAAGAGCCCTGCTCTGCCCCTCGTGGCATGGATCCTTTCCCTGGTGTGGACTCAGTCTTTGGGGAAGAAAAGTGGGGTGGAGCTACCAGCATCCCAGTTCGGAAAATAGAGGAATTTGCCACCAGCAGCTTAAAAACTGGAAATGCTGGTCTCTGCCAGCCTCCTCAGGCCACCCTTGTTTGTCCCCATGGAGATGAGAAATCCCTCCAGGATGAACAGACCACTGGAAGGGCTGGTGTGCATGGACTTCGCTTCAGAAGAGAACTTAGATCTTCCAGGGAACTGCAATGTTGTGGCGTCTGATTTGTATGTCACATTTGTGTAAAATGGTATGTTCTTTAAAATGGTGTTGATAACTGGAATATTGTATGTATGCTTGAAGATGCTTTGTGTGAACCTAAGACTCACTCAGCCGATGTTGGATTGGGGAAAATCCAAAGCACAACTTCAAAATAAAATATGTTTTTAGGTTTCACTGCTGCAAGTCATCTCCCTTTCCCCCACTCCCTGAAAGTGTCGATCATCTGAACTAACAGGAAGAACAGGTGACCTTGGAGCTTCTCTTCCCCTCTATGCTATTGGTTCCCTTTAGCCCATGTGTGGAACCTCAGGTTTTATAGGAAGTCTGTGGCGGTAAAATCTTTCCTTAACAGAACCTACTTTTTGCTTTAATGAAGACTACTTTACTTCTGTCTGTATGATCAGATTTCCCACTTGAAAAACTGAAACCTATAAAGCTGGTTGGAAACTTTGCCAGCTACAACCAAGGGTAGCCAGAAGGTTCTGTATTTTAAGATTTATCATTTTTTGCTTAGTGTGTATGGGTGTTTTGCCTTCATGTTTCTCTATGTAACGCATGCAGCACCACAGAAATCAGAAGGGGAGCATAAGATCCTCTGGAACTGAAGTTACAGACAGTTAAGCCACCAGGTAGCCCCTGAGAACTGAACTCCAGTCCTCTGCAAGAATAGCCAGTGCTCTTATCTGCTGAGCCATTGCTCCAGCCCCTGCCTATGTCTTTGTCTTTCACAGCCAAATCCTGGAGGCAGCCTGCCCTTGGCCATCCCTGTATCTGGAAGAAGTTCTGATCAACATGCCTTGTTGCTGATGAGGATGGAAGACACAGGGATGCATCCTCTCTCTTTGAGATGCCTTGTGTTTTAGTAGAAAGTGAGCTTGAGGGTGGAGTTCATAAAAAGTTACTCATGTGCCTGCCATGACCAGAAGCCCAAAGCAATGGGGCCAGACAGTCATGGATTGAAACCTCCAAAACTTGTTCCCTGAAGGCTTCACTTCTAAATGAGGAAGAAGTGGGTCTACAGAAGTCATTCCTATCTGTGGGTATACATTTGCATATACTTACACAAATACATGGTTTGCTTGAGACAGGGTCTCACCTTCTAGCCCTGATCATCTCAGAACTCACTATGAAGACCACACCGGCCTAAATTCAGAGATCTGCCTGTCTCCACCTCCTCAGTGCTAGGATTAAAAGCATGCACCACCACCCCCTTGAGAATTTTCTTTTTCTTCTTCAAGACAGGGTTTCTCTATGTAGTTCTGGCTAGGCTGGATCTTGCTTTGCAGACCAGGCTGGTCTCAAACTCACATAGATTCACCTGCCTCTACCAGATACTGGGACAAAAGGTGTGCACTACCATACCCAGCATCAGAATTATGTTTTCTAAGATGTTGTTAGCAGCTGGGAAAGGGAGGGTCGATTTTCTCTAAGAGTGTAGCCCCTGATAGGTGGAAGGCCACACATCCAAGAATATTTGGACAGTACAAAGCAGCCTTGATGGAGGGGACACAGTTGGGTGGGTAGGTAAGGGGGAATGAATCTGGGAAGAACTGGGGCCTAAATTTTGAACTAGCACAATTGTCCTTGTCTTAACTACTTGACAGTTATATGAGCAGCCAGGTTAGCACTCGGGTCCCGTTCTACACATAGTTCCTGCTTTTGTGTGGGGCTGTGTGACTTCTTACACTGTGAGTTGCTTTCCGACCCCAAATAAGAACAAGTGCACAGATATACATGTGTACATACTTAATTTCTGAAGCTTTCATAAAGCATGTTCGATCATGTACATCCTCCCCAGTTCTTCCCAGATTCATTCCCCCTTACCTACCCACCCAACTGTGTCCCCTCCATCAAGGCTGCTTTGTACTGTCCAAATATTCTTGGATGTGTGGCCTTCCACCTATCAGGGGCTACACTCTTAGAGAAAATCAACCCTCCCTTTCCCAGCTGCTAACAATTGCCAGTAGCTCCTCTGCTAGGAGTAAGAGTTCATGCCCATCTCCCCCCCAACCCCATGCTGGGATTTGGTCTGGCTTGTGTTTGCACAGGTCTTGGGCAATGCGGACATTCGTAATGAATAGACACCTGATTATCAAAAGCAGCAAAATACCAAGGGAGGTAACAAATTAGAATAAATTGTACAAAGCCTGGGGCCAGCATTTGTTTTTAGGGAGCTTACTATAATACCAGACATCCTTGAGGATGTTTATTGGCATTGCCTGTGTTCGGTAGTAACACAGGACCCTACTCCAACCCTAGCATGGACACACTACTTGGTTTGTCATTTTTATCTCGTATGCATCTGGTGTTCAGCATCTCCTTGCCCTACAAGCCTGTCTCATCCCCCTCTATCAGTGATTGAGCATTCACAGTAAGCATTGTTGCCCTGGGGTAAGTCAAAATTGAAACTCTTCTGCCACCCTGTGGTACAGTCTCTCACCCTGGCAGCAGTATATGAAGAGGGATCCCTGGAACCACTGAGTTGCTGAGATGGAGCCAGCTCTTAGGCTGTGGGCAAAGCACCTCTAGCAAAGTCATGCTTTTGGGGGTCCTCTCCCAGATATATATATATGTGTGTGTGTGTGTGTGTGTGTGTGTGTGTGTGTGTGCGTGTTCTGATGGGACAATGATGGGCACAGATGGCAGGCAGTAAACAGTCAATCCACAAATGCACTTCAACTAAATGGAAACTGAAACAAGAGACCAGGTGAGTATGGAGTTAGGATTATCTCATTTAAATGTTTATAGATCCCATTCTTCTAGGAAGTTAGGTAAAAAAGGATGTCACAATGTATTCAGATGTATTCACGATCCTCTTATATTAGCCTCTTGAGTGCTAGGATCTCCAAGCATGAGCTGCCACAGCTGACAGGAAGTTTCCTTTGACTCAGAAGCTAACCCTGATATTACATATGGCAAAGAATCAATTAGATAATCAACTGACTTCAGTGTGTCTATTCAAGCGCTGTGTTGAGCAGGAAAAACAGGCGGTAGAGCTTGTTTCCTACGCAGCCCAAGAAAAGCAAAGTAAGTGAATTTGAAAATGAAACAAGTGCTGGGTTGGACCAGAAAGGCCATTATGGAGCTGTGCGATGACATGTGCCAGTAGTCCCAGACATTCTTTAGCTGAGGCGAGATCATCACAGCTTGAGGCCAGCTTTGGCAATATAAAAGAAGGGGGATGTCATTGTGGTGTGAAACCAAGCACGGAAAATTAAGATTTCTGCTTAGGCAGGCCATGCTGAGATGACCCAGAGATCCACAAGTGAGAAGGTGTGTGAGTCCAGTTTGGAGGATATCCTACCCCAAATCCAGTAGGATGTATTCAAACTGAGATTTATGATGGGAGGTGTAGATGGAAATCTTGTAGAGGAGAAGGAGAAGAGATGGAGTAAGCCCAGCTCCTAGGTGGCAGAAGGGTGCATGTCACAGAATCAAAAAAGGCAGTACTTGACAAAGGGAGGGATCACTGTTAAGAGGCCAGTGTCGTGGGGGATAAGATAAAGATGGTGTCAAAAAGTAAGCACTTTAATTGGGCATGGTGGAGCAGGCCTTTAATCCAAGCCCTTGGGAAGCACAGACAGGAAGATTCTGTGAGTTCAAGGCCAGCCTGCTCTACCTATCAAGTTCCAGGACAGCCAGGACTATATAGAGGGTACCCTGTTGATGGGGGAGGTCCTTCTGTGTACATGATTGTCTTATTGGTTGATAAATAAAGTACTGTTGGCCAATAGGAAAACAGGATAGGTGGGACTAGCAGTCAAGGAGGATTCTGGGAAAGGTAGAAGAAAGTACAGAGTCACCATGTGAGCCCAGGAAGACAGGACACTTGCTGCTGGCATCGGATAAGATAAGTCTTAGAAATATGTAGATTTATGATAATTAAGACTGAGCTAGCAGATGAGAACGCAGCATTTGTACCTAACATAAGTCTCTGTGTGTTACTTGGGACCTTAATGTGGCAGCGGGCGGAACTTGCGCAGCCTGGCAGAAAGCACCCATGTGGCAGCAAGGCTTGGGCAGCTTGGTGGAAAGACTTATTGTTACACCCTGTCTCAAAGGGGGAGGAAAAAAAAGAAGTGGGAAGGGCTGGGGATAGGATTTCTTGGTACACAGAAAGGTCCTGTCTCAAAAAATAAAAGGAAAGAAAAGCATTTTTTCAGCAGATGGGAAATGAACTCACTGGAGTGGGCGAGGCAGCAAAGGACAGACCCAGCAGCTCGGAGAATGCGGGCATCCCAAGGAGCTAAGGACTGGGGTTTGTTCTGAAGATAGACAGAGTGGAGGCATATTTGCTCTGTGGGCAGACACAGAGAGAGACAGGCAGGAGTCTGGAGGGGCAGCTGAGTTGCATAGCCAAGTGAAGGTGGAGGCCAGCAGAAGGGATACGGGGTCCTGTCTTGGGAGGAACAGCAGCCACTAGGGTAGGCATAGACAGGCAGTGGCTGTTGCTTCTTTCAGTTCAGCTAAGTTGAAGACAGGGTCTTAAGATGGCTATGGGAGGAAAGAAACATTTCCAGATGTGGAACAATGACAGATAATTGCACAAGGACCAGGTCCCTTGGGGCCTGGATAGTGCACCCACAGCCCCTTTCCCGCTGCTTGGGAAGAGCCAGAGTACCAGTTCTGGCTGTAGTCCCTCCTTCGCCAAAATTCCTGGGCAGAGTTGACTTATAAAGGTGTCAACCAGCTAGCTATAGGCTCTGAGGTTTTGTCACTTAGCCCTGTGACTAAGTACAGCCAGGCCCTATAAACAGGCCCACACACATGTACCACCCTGCCATGATCCTTTCTTACATGTAAGGTACTGGAAAGCACTGTATGTATTGGGGGTAGGTTGTTGGGGGGTCCAGCACCACTCTTGGGTACAGAACCTCAGCCTCATGCATGCTGAGCAGTCCAGTACCGCTACTGAGCTATATACTTCCAGCTGCCTGACTTCTTTTTTAAAGAGCTCTAACTCTATTGCCCTGTTCAGACTGATCCTAAATTCCTAGGCTCAAGTAAACCTCCTGCCTCAGCCTTGCTAGAAGCTGGAACCACAGATATATGCCACTATGCCCAAAACAATACCTATACCAAACCTACTGGGTACCGAGCTTGGCATCTCTTTGCTTTATACCAATCCTTTGAGAAAGGTTAATTGACACCTCTGTTTAGGAGGTGGCCTTGATAATAGCAGCCTTTCCACCACACCAGCCTCCATCAGTAGCAGAGATCGGTTTTTTTCCTCCAGATTTGCTAGCCGAACACATACATACAAACACACACACACACACACACACACACACACACACACACACACACACACGCACACACATGCACACTCACGCACACACATGCTCTGGTCCCTATGCTGCCTTTGGACACTATTTTTATGATTTCTTGGGCCTGGGAGGATGTAGCAAGACTCCTTATGGACATCCTCTTGTCTCCAAGCTCCTGAACTTCCCATGCAGCTGGGGCACAGGCAGGACAGTCCTATATTTGTCCACACCAAAGGTATTTCCTCTCAGAATCTACAGGTGAAGTGCTATCTATTACCAGCACAGGTCCCCCTCGCTGGTTCTCTGTAGGGTCCCAAATACAAAGCCCTGGACAATCCATGTCCTGTTTGTTTGTTTGTTTGTTTGTTTGTTTGTTTTTTCAAGACAGGGTTTCTCTGTGGCTTTGGAGGCTGTCCTGGAACTAGCTCTTGTACACCAGTCTGGACTTGAAATCACAGAGATCCGCCTGCCTCTGCCTCCCAAGTGCTGGAATTAAAGGTGTGGGCTGCCACAGCCTGACAATCCATGCCCTTTTGATGCTTCAGAACCTCTGCCTCTGCTTCCTATGCTTGAACGAGTTTCCCTTCTCTGACTAACTCAGAGCACACAGCAAGACCAGCAAGCCCTTCCTGTTGCCCCAAAGAGGTCCACAAAACCACTGCTTGCTGAGTGTATGTCTCCTGCACTCACTGCCACGTTGTCCGGCATTGTGCCTCTCTGGGATAAGCTGCCTATGTCTCTCCTTTTCTGTCCTGAGCACACACTAACTGTTTCATGGGAGATGCTATACCTGATTCTTGTGTTAGAAGATGTGAAAGTCCCCGGGAAAATCGACTAATTAGGCTAGCCAGTGAAAGGAAAATAAGAGTGCTAATTCGTGGAGGAAAATGAGCAGCCTTCAGGATAGGCAAAGTGATCCTGTAAACCTCAGTGGGCAAAAACAGTCTCCCTGGTGGACCAGAGGGGCACTCTGATCATGCAAGTCATTCAGATGACTTTCTAGACCAGTAGTTCTCAAAGTGTGGGTCACATGACCCCTTTGGGAGTCATATCAGATATCCTGCGTGTCAGACAGTTACATTACAATTCATAACAGTAGCAAAATTACAGTTATGAAGTAGCAACAAAATAATTTTATGCTTGGGGGATCTCTAGAACATGAGGAACTGTATTAAAGGATCACAGCATTAGGAAGGTTGAGAACCACTAGTCTAGACTGATGGAGCAGCCATGTTGAATGGAGTCACCTTGCTAGAGGGTAGGAGACCTAGAGGGTAGTTAAGTGATTTGCTACAGGAAGCACACTTCTGTCCTCTCCAAGCCCTAGGTGATCAGCAAGTGCAGTTCTCCCATGTTCCTGCCAGGTGGACACCTGTTAACACGCAGACTGGAGTGTGGACCCCTCAGGGATGCCCCTCCTGGTCCTGCTGTGTGAAGCCATTGCAGGGCCTCTAGCTGTCATTTTAATCAGGTGAATCTGTCAGCCAACAAGCTCTGGGCCTGTTCGTGCCTCTCCTCCCTGTGATGGGGCTGGCAGAGGAAATCACCAGGTGTGGCCGGGGGAAAGTCCCACCAAGATTCTAGAGAAACATGGAATTTCCTGGTTTTAACCACTTATCCAGCTGCCCACTCAGAGCTGACCAGAGCAACACGGACCCATTCTAGCTTCCCAGGATATTTGGGGCACTGAGTTATGCCTGGTGGCAAATCATGGGCAAATTACTAAAGATGTGTAGGACTTGATGGCATCAAATGTGGTCTGAAAACCACTTTCCTGTCTCCTTGAGTTTACCAGCTGCTACATTCCCTGCCATCCATGCAACCTAAAGCCCACCTTCAGGCTGTGGTCAGAAAGCTGCCCCAGGGTGGGGTGGGTGGGGTGGGGGCAGGCTTTGCTGTGTGTAAGGTCAGTCAAAGCAGAGGCTATGACCTGAGTGTGTGCTTGTTCTTGCAGGTTCTAAGGAAGACAAGTCCTGTCCAGCTTCTGGGAGAGGCCAAGCACAGGTCCTGGGACTTTCTAGGCAGCTTTCAACTGGGCTAACTTGTTCAACCTCTTTAGTTGACCTCGAACAGAGCCCTGAGTTTCCCTGCCAGAGATGTCAGCACAGCACCCAGTGGCCTGTCACAGAGGCCCCGGCCTCAGTCCCTGCCTATTTGTGGCATAGACGATGGTCCTATGGTGTCTGCCTAGCAGCATCCTCCTTCCCCTTCCTGATGTGGGGTGAAGGTGTGTGTGGCAGCCGCTGAGCTGCCTGTCTCTTTAAGAGAGAGAGAGGAAGGGAGGGAAAGAGGTGGGGAGAGGGAGAGAAGTGAACCAGGAAGTGTGATAGAACTGAGAGCCTGGGCTCTGCTGTCCTGGGTATCCCACCTCTATGAGAGAGGCAAGAAAGAAACCTCAGACCCAGGCCCATCACCGCTAGCTTTGCCTTCGTGGATCCTGGCGGCCCATGACTATCAGGATGTTCTAGGCACTGCCCACGATTGACTTCAAGGCCTGAAATCCCTGGGGATGCCACCCAGTCCCACAAGTCTGCATTCCCCTGCAGCTGAGTTGGGAGATGGGGTGAGTGTACAGCCGCTGTGGAGGAGGGTGGCATGGGGGGGGTCAGGTGGGACAGCTTCAAGGAAATACTCAGCTGAAAGCCCCCTCCCCGTGTCTTTCTTGTGGCTGCTGGGAACCTGGTGGTGTCCTGTGCTCTCTCTGTGGAAATAAACACTCTCAGAGGCCAGGCAAGGGGCAGGGAGGGTTATGGCCCTGGGGAGAACCACCATTGACCAACAAAGTTCCCCTCTTGGGTTCTGCTGCCCAACATGCTTATGCAAAGCTGGGGTTCAGCTTTGGGTGCCCCTGCTGACCTCTGCTTGGGATCTTTTCCCTGAGGCCCAAAATAGCCAGGAGAGGCTACCAGAACATCTGGAAAGCAGCTGGAAAACCCCCAGTCCTGTAGGGAAGACAACAACGGGAAAGGGTTACAAGGCTGAGACTGGTGGCCTTTGATGGGCTGAGAATCAAACAGCACCAAGGGGGCCTCTCATCCGCCCACCCTTCTCTTCCGGTGTAGCTCAGCTCCTGAACTTGCCCCAGACAGAAAGCATAACACACACAGAGAGTCTGCCTGATTCTGGGCCACTCCGAGTGCGAGTAAGTACATCTGTCACAGAAAAGCCCCAAGGAGGATGGGAGTCCGTGAGCAGGATGGTGTTGACTCGGTGACAGCTACTGTGCAGTCTGTATAGAGAAGGGACTGGTGGGAGACAAGAATGCAGAGGTGATCCAGATGTGCCATAGTCCGAACTTCTAAGTACAGAACCCAGAACTGTGTGGCCCATCTGGAATTCTGTTCTGTGCTTCTCACTGCCCATCTCCCTGACTTCAGCTGTACTTTGCCCTAACACCAGGGCTTGGTTGAAGACCAGCCTATGTAGAGTTATGTAGACTATATCAAAGTGATATAGTCTGGTGCCCCCAGCTCCCAAGGCTAGGACCTCGACCTCCATTTCCGTACACCCTGCCTGAGCCTCTCATTGGGCTGACTCCAGCCATAGGAGAAACGTGGCCTCTCATTTCCATTGCCTTGAGAAGCACCCTTACTTTTGCATAATGCAAACATGAGTGTGTTGTCTGACACTGGGGTGTGACTACTGATCTCTTCAAGTGGCTTCTGCCTCAAAGGCCCATGTTCTCCAGAGTTTTCATCTTTAAATCAGACTCCCAGCTGGGACCTAGCTCACTCAGTCTGTAGGGTGTTTGCCTAGCACGCATGAAGCTGTGGATTCGATCCCAGGCCAGCACCTAGTTTAACAGGGAATGGTGGTCCACAACTACAATTCAAGCATTTGGGAGGTAGACACAGAAGTTCAAGACCCTCTTCAATACCACTGAAGCTACCTGGGCTGGCTACTCTGTCTTAAAAAAACACAGAGAGAGTGGGCTCAAAATTGATCCATCTTTGGTTTGAGACCCAATGAGAGGCTGGAGCAGGAAGAGGCCCAGCCTAAAGCAACTTTATTTCAAAACATTGAAGGAGTAGTGGCCCTTCTTGCGCTCCTGCCACCAGGCATCCCAAAAGGCTGGCTCTGGCCCTATTTTGCAGATAGGCAGTAACTTCTGAGGCTACACTTTCTGGAGCCAGTTGCTTTAGAGGAACCAAGTTTTTGGAGGGAATAGGATGAGAGCAAAGATGGGGAGCAGAGTTGTGGACAGTTTCAGATCTTCCCCAGAGTCCTGGAGCCTGTGTGTGTGATGCTCTTAAATCCTTCCCCACTCTCCTCCATCACCTCCTCCTCCCTTCTATCCCTCCCATCCTTTCTCCTTGGCTGTCTCTCCTCCTGGAAAAGCACTGGCCAAGGCCTGACTGCCTGCTGAGCAGATGTTAGCTCCCAACAGTAGGAAGTTAGGTGCCATATAAGCAGAGAAGGAGGGGTGGTAGTGGGGGCTCCAGGCTCATGTTGCAATCTTGGAGATTTGTGGTGGTGTGACTGGCTCTGCCTGACCCTGGCTGACCTAGGGCCCTTCCTCCTGCATGCACTGTGTCTGCTTCCTGGGACAGTCCCAGGCCTGGATGCCAAAACTCTGAGTCCCCAGTTCCTGGAAGAGGTGATAAAGGTTTGTCCCCCTAGACTGGCCTACCTCTGAAGGGTGCTTCAGAGGGGCACAGGACAGAAAGAAGTCCCCATGGGTATAACAGATACAAGCTTGGGACCGAGTGGGACACTCCTACTGCCGTTTTGTTTCTTTGGGAGGAAGTTACTTAACCTTCCTGCACCACCATTTCCCCAGCTCCCTTGCCTGTGCCATGGCCACATAGAGTCCTTTACGGCACGGTCTTGGGAGCTGATGGCTTGTACCAATATCTATTGCAGGTCAGGCATGGGACCTTGGGGCTCCCGCATGGTTGGTTGTTTTGTTTTCCCAGGTGGAAGGTAGCCAAGCCTGGGAGATGCAGAGTACAGCTAATTATCTATGGCACACTGATGACCTGCTAGGGCAGGGGGCCACTGCCAGCGTGTACAAAGCCCGAAACAAGGTAATAGCCCTAGAACTAGCCCGCCATTGGACATTAGGAGTCTATGAAGCTGTACACGAGGCCCCAGAGCTCTGTTCTGTCTACCCTAATGAGAAAGGTTTGGGCTGATGTGTGGGATGCTGGAAAAAAAAAATGCCTTGGAATGGCATCTCTGTCTGAGACATGTTGGGACTAGAGGACAAGGCAAAGGGGGAGGTGACAGCGAGTGGGATCTAGGAATAGCAGGGCTGGGAGGTTGAGCCTGTCTGGGTTTGTCCTACAGTGGCCGGCTGTAGAGCTGTGTCACAGGGCACTCCGTACTCAGGCACTGAAGGCAGGGTAGACTGCCTAGGCAGTCCTTACCTATGGCAAAATGAGCAGTGACAAGCCAACTCCTGTGGGATATCAATTGTGTCACCTCCAAGTGCTGCTCCCGCTCCCTGAGTAGGGGAAGGAGTTGCAGATGTGAGTGAGCCCACCCAGTCATCCCACCCACCCCCTCCACCCCCATCTCCTCTGGGGCTGTGTTGGGGAAGAGGCTAAAGCGAGGGGAAGGTGGCAGCTCCCTGGCAGGGGTGGGACCAGTGTGGTCCCCGT